TAGGCAACTGAATAAGCATATTTTGCTCAAAACATTTGCACCTGAAGTAAAACGCATAAAATGACACGTAGAAAAGGAGAGATATATTTCAGCGATTTTACTCTCAAGCTGTACAGTAATAATACGAACAAAGGTAAATTGAATAATGATCGGTAAATAAATTTCATTCCCTAAACAAAGAAGGGAGTTATGCTCACATGATTGCAGATTTGTAGTTCGGCATCAGTAACAGAAGGATTCGACATTTTCTGAGCTTCACTTGTGTTGTTTGCAACTCGATGAGAAACTGTATGAGTTTAACAAGTACGTTACGATTGAAAGTTTTGTACCAGCTCAGAGCGATTCCTAGAAACCAAGTAATATTATTTCACATTTATTCATGCTTTTCAGTCACGAAAGAGCTAGTAACCTAGAAAAGTAAGATTAAATTTGATAAAACTTGTGAAAGATATAAAAAAGAGGAGGACAAGTTTTAAAATGACATATCTAACCACAACAGTAAAAAAAAACCTCACAATGATTAGTTAAATAAGAATTTCGCAATCCAGTACATTTATTTGATGACGAAAGTATTTATTTTAAAATATTACCTTAAAACGTACTTCAGGAATAAGGTACAGTCCGCATGTCTAAAGCAAAGTAAGCAGGTTTTGCAACGAATTTAATTCTAAAGCTTTGATATTAAGTTCGGTTCTCAGAGCAGTTGAGAGAAATCAAGTGACGAGTTCGTGTAAATTCAAATGAAAATTCGTTCTTTCCAGACTATGAAGCCTGAATACTCTACTGTTTAGCAGTAAGTATATTAAAGTTGTCATATGTGCGCCCTCCATAAATCATAAGGTACTGTGGTGTACCTTGTATTCACTGCAGTAGTTTAGTGGAAACTGTGGCACTAAATTAGGAACATAAATAGAACTGCCATGTCAGACACGTTAAGAATGACAGCATGTGAACGTTTTGTCAAGAACATCAAAATAAACTTACAGTTGATCATGGCAGGGGATTTTTGTGGCACAAATTCAGCATAGTGCTTACAAAAATCCGGAAAAAAAACATTCGTATTGGCAATAAAACGAAGGATATCAATTTTATACTGCTAACCAGTCAATGTATCGATTTTAATTTAACCAATGAACCACAAATTCACTTCATAATATCATTAGCACCTTTTGTTCTAGATGGAAAAAAGCTTATGAAAAAATTTCTTCAGTCTGCTTTGAAGCTGACTCGTATCAAATTCTAAGCAAGCTGGAAACTTGTGAAAACATTTGAATAGTTTGAAGAACACTATACGTCTATAGCTCGAACAGTCAACTAGGAGGTTTACTTCAAAAAAAACATCCCCAAGACACCATTTATGGTGGCTTCATCAAAGTTATCTGGTTTCGATAATCGTCATCAAGGTTGACTTGAAACACAGAGAGAACTGATAGCATGTAAGGGATTCGAGTCAAGATACACTGTTACAGTCACAGTGATGCTTACTGAGCTTCACAGACGATTACTGACCTTCTGTAGCACACACTATCCCTTATATTCACCAATATTTATTTTAAGTTCTGCTTATTTTCTTTCCACTCGAAAATCTACATTGGGCGCGTTATTTACCAGGAACAAGTGGCCTAGTATGCTAAACTTTTGTGGATGAAACATTAATCAACTCTGCTTCCTTTATCAATGTTTTTGTAGAATATAAGTGTTTATGACAAATCATTTGTGTGCATCGAGATATATGAATATATGATAATTAGGATACAAGTGATACTGTAAGAGCCGTTGCCTAAAAAGAAAAATGAACCTGTTATTATTGGGGGAAAATTTGAAAATTCAAGAACAAATGTCACGAAGTTTTAACGTATTCTCCATAGGGGGTATACTGATGTAATTGTTCAGTCATTAGCACTGTTACTAACCTTGTAGTAAAGTTTGCAATGTGGAATCTGAGCTAAATGATGCGATACTATATTTTGACTAGAGAAGGTTGGACATAATAAACAGGAAGTTCCAGAGCTAAGTTTTGTTTTTAATTGAATTCATTAGGAAAGTTTATCTGGATCGACTATCATGGAAAGACCCATTTCTGTGCATAGATCAGTCCTATAGAGGGTCAGTGGTAGGCTAGTGAGCTAAGTATAAAAGCCTGTGAATTCAGAACTGAGTTATTTAGGCTCTCACCTTTCAGTGAACACGAATATTCTCAGGGTAGTAATTACGTCTGACAGATGGATGCTAAAAAGCACAAAATTTGGGCTTAAGTCTTCCTGCTAACTAGTACCAAACACTAAACATTCATTTGCCAACAGTTTTATTAGCTTATTTAGGTCATCAAAGATAATCAGGATTTCAACCTATAGTATACATCGGATAGTCCACTGTAACAAACGTCTGAGGTTAGAGTCTTTTATTATCTGGATAATCATCAAAAACGTTTTGAATTCAAAACGGGGGTGGGAAAATTACTTAATTATCGTAGATACATGAAAAATATACCCTATGCACATAAGTTAGAAGTTATTCAGCAGTGTTGACAAGTGTGTTATCCGAAGAATATAAATTTTTATAACCATCCACTATTTGGGATAAAATGATGATTCTCTGCATAAATTCTGGCAGTTATCAGTTTCCAGTGAGCACGAAATTCTCTTTCAGATGCGTTTATCGGAATTGTTACTGTTTACTTTGAAAGTGGATTTATTAGGCAATAGAAACACGTATTTAAGTCTCCGATGATAAAAGCGACTACTTCACGTCCCGATCTTTGATAACCAGTTGATTTTCTGTTTTTTATATGGAGTTTTATTGAATGCAAACAAGTACTGAATAACAGATACATCATTTACATCAGCTTTATATCTCAATCCGATACCACTGAGTTAAGCTGATAAGCAGTGTGTGTTTAGTCGACCGCATATAGTACGAAAACAGATAATCTTCGAGGAAGCTTGATCTTAGTGGAATAATATCATAAACTTACAAACCTTACAAAATCTGAATAACTGGATCCCATGCCATGTCAACGTGTTTACAGCCTAACCTTACCTTCCTTGGTTCGATTCTTCATGAGCTGAAGATTTTACAGTGCAGAGAAGTTACAGACTAGGAAAAAAAAGCTGTCCAACGTTCCTAGATTTTCAGCAGTTTCTCAGTTGAAATCCATCTATCACTGAGTTATATTGAAATTAAAGATGCTTCACTGTGTAGATGAATATGAACTTTCTTGGAGTAATGAAGTTACTTCATTTGATATGAATGACAATTAAGTTCCTTCAAGTGTAACTTTAAAAATGTTACATCACTCAGTAGTGTGTTCCACTGAGAACTTATGTCTGAAATAGATCGTTAGGTAAACCTAGTTCTAATTTGATAATAATGTCAGTCTGTTAACTGCTTGTTAAATAATATAAATATTTTTGAAAAATTTTTCAGAGATAATATCACTGAGAAGAATTAGTTCATTGAATTATCTTTCGTCATTAACAGTTAAGTGTAAATAAAAGCATAGTAAGATTTTTAATGTAAGACGTACTGGCATATTACACTTCAATGCAGTTTTGAGAACTAAAAGACTATATCCTCTATAATGCGTAGCTGAAAATACAACTTAGCTTTCTGTTCCAGCGTTCATTCTGAATAAACTGTGATCAAATAACTATTTTCAGTAAACACTAACTTTGTAAGTTATGTATATCTTCCTCTTTCTTTGTGGTGACAGTTTGAAAAATATACAAAATTCCTATTTCATACAATTTTTGAAAAACAGGGTAACCGGGACAGTATGACACATATATTATTACAGTAGTGCTCATGATTGTTTACCAGTGTTGTCTATATATAAACGAGTCAGAAAAAAATAATTTTTGCCTATTTTTATGATGAGAAAATTGATGAATGCGAAAGTTTTGAAGTGGATATAGCCGGACATAATAATTAAGCGTTTCTGACAAGCCTTTTCGTATTATTAAGCGGTTTATATTAAGGCTCACAAGACTTTTGGATTACATTAGAAATGGTTCAGAACCATTTTGCAATAATACCAATGTATAAGGAATTATCGATGGCATTTATTGACGCATGTAAAGGTACAGTTGCCAGTCATTTAACAACAACCATAAATCATAGGAAAAATATAGGAATTTCCATTCTTCTCTAACAGATGTACATCGTTGTGTTTTTTTCTTAATGAAATATAGCTTCATTGTTCGCATTACCTAATCAAACAGCGGTTATCTTGCTCTGAACTACTCGTTAATCAGTTAATTGCAGTTGAACTTAACTGCTAAAATCAGAGTTATTTGAAAATAGCTGGGTTCTATTTTGCGTAGTATCCTCTGGGTTGGGAGGTTTAATAATGAGGTTGTCATTAACCTTATAAGCAACATCATCAATACTGACTTAAATATGCAGTCATCTATCCAGATTTCCCCATGAGTGGTTAAGTGTGTTATCTGACAAAGTGACTTATGATTGATAGTTGCCTTTGATCGTGTCACTGACTGTACAGGTTTTCCTGTAGGTCGTTTCTCGGCCTGACCGCAGGCTTCTATAAGGTCATAATGAAGTTATTACAAGTGATATTGACTAGAAAGGCAACAAAACAATTTGACGGTTGGACTACCCGATTTAGAAAACACAACATAACCAAGATCATCTACCTGAACTTTAAAGATTCTCCACTATTTCAGTTGGGTTCTAAGTCTGATTTTACCTTACTTTCTACCTAAGTACTTTCTATTCAGGAATAATTCATGACAATCATATTTCTTTACTTGTAACATCAAATGTCACCAAGGTAAATAGACATACCATACAGTTTAGAGAACAAAGCACTGACGCAACTATCCTTGATGAAGTGGAATAATCTTCTTACATTCAAACAAAGTCCCCATTACGTTTCATTACGACTGACATTTTCGAAAGTTGATATTTACAACGCTGAGAGTAAAACCCTACCTATGACTCTTATGTTCATGTATATCATTCATTATATAATTTTAGCAATAATGACGACCAGTATGGAGAATGAATCAACTTCAACTCAGAATAAACCAGGAGCTAAGCCATCTCTTATTACAACGTATGATGAAGATACCGAAGATCAAGACAATGATGCTGTCAACCATTTTTCATTAAAACGAGAACAAGAACAAAAGTAACAATTTTTTACAAGATAAGGCAAACAGTAACTGAACCTTCCAGATACAACCAAAACAATGGGCTACACAGAAGTTTATCAATCCACGGTGTCATTTCTCCAAAATATGACAACTGTATTCATCTTAACAAAAATATTAACAGTAATATTGATAATGATGATAGAAATTCAAAACTGAAAAGTTTTGAAGATCTAATAGTTGTTCCAAGTTCAGCTGGAATACCTCATATTTTCGAGAATTCATTCACAAAACACAACAGCACTACACAACCATCGGTAAGATCAAATTTACAAAAGATCAGATTCCCATCACTTGACAGAATTGCACCTACAAGTGAGTTACTGATGGAAAGCATGCTGACCTATACCGATGTCTCATTTAATGGCAATATTTATCGGCAAGAATTAAAAACGTATTTTTGGCCCAGTGAATCATTTTAAACAGCTGTATAGATGTATTTATTAGTACAACCAACAAGTTGGTCTGAAAATGTCTTATTAGCCAACAATGGGTTATCAAATGTGGGATACTATAAGCGGAAGTGGCGAACTGTTTGAAAAGCCAGCTATAGGTTGTGCTAGAGAACAGGATGTAGGGTAATTATTATGAAGAAACTTAAATTTGAGAAAATAGGAATCATAATCATACAACTATTTTTTGCTAAAGTTTGAATTCACAAGAATGAATACATGAAGACTGGCCATAAAATAGCAGCGATGAAAAAACAATAAGCAGAAGGAGAATATGAAGGCAACTAAAGAAATCAAGGAAAGACTGTGATTGTGACAAAATAAGAGATTAGTCTTACAACATTTCTAAGCAAGCATAGGGCTTTGATTGTTAAGGTGCAAATATCAGTGATATACCTAAGTGACGTATCTGGACCTCTTTTTTGACTGTTAAGTTTGACTTTCGACAGGATCTTAAGGGAAGGTTCTGGTTAAGCCACATGACCGCAATTGACTAAATGATATGAAATGGATATATATATATATATATATATATATATATATATATATATATATATATATATATATATATATATATATATATATATATAGCACGCGATGATAATTTACTGTTCACGGTTCCTTTCATCACAAGTCTGCTAGGGAATGTACTTCATGGCTTTGAAGTTTCCAGACGTCAATAGTCAGACAGTTTGGTGACAGTATTTCTTCTGAATTAAATTTTTATGCCCCGAAATATGGTAAGAATTTGATTTGTTTTAGCCTCGTTTTCTTTACAACACATTTTTGAAGAAACTTCTCCAAGAACGTACTTTCAGAAAATTTGACAGTCGTTTAATTAATGTATCATCTTGGGAGCTTCTTTTGATTCTCTCGTTGGATTAACAAAACAGTATTCTTTTCCCTTTTCATACCACACGAATTTGGATATCAGTTGAGTATTTATTTAGTGTAGATTAATCTTTCAAAAAACTCATCAAATCTCTTTCAACAAAAGATTCATAAAATGGAGATCTGATTTGTGTTATACTGCCTTCATGAACATGATTGATGGATAGCAATAAACGAATTTCAGTACCACAGAGTCACGATCAACTTGCTCCTCATAATAATGAAATGGTCATCAATGCGCTTCCCATAAAGATCTAACTAATTGGTTAGTGGTTATAGTAGTTTTCTTTAGAATGACTTAAGAGCAATCTGAAGAATTGAGGTCTAGTGATGGCCCTAATCACAAAAGTAATATAGGCTAGCCTAGCGTAAAACAGTAGTGACCAGTAACAACAGTAAATCAATCAGCCATGGTGAAGACATTGAACGAAGAAAATCTAGAATGTTTTCAGTTGTTCCACTTTAAGATGGCATCTTATATCACTTACGGTTTTCATGATGGATACTGAAATAATATTTCTTACTCCAACGAAATAATAATAATAATAAATAATAATATGAATAGTTACTACTTAATTTTATCTCAGTAGAGCATAAAACCATACAAGAAATACAATAATCCCAAACTGCTGATACTTCAAGAACAAATGTTCTCTTGAGTATCCACCAAATTACAAAAACATGTGAGCATCTTTGAAATGTTCTGTGATAAACTTCAGTATTTTCGGTTCTGTATACAATATGTGTTCTTTTATACAACCCATTGAAAAGTTCATGCTATGATTACATTTCTGGAAATTACTGAACTCAGCGTAGTGCAAACTTAGAATGGTAATACTAGGGAAAATTTCAAAGCACTTCACTATTACTACACAAAACACTTTATCGAAATACAAGGGAAATATTGCTCTAGCCAGTATGAACTACGAAATCGTTCACTATGAAATAAAAGAAATCTACATGAATATAATTCACCAAATAAGGGCCAAAAACTATGTTAAATTATTGATCATATGGCAGGTAATACAGTCTCACTATAGTGCTACTTTTGCTGCAGCGCCATAAGATTCTGTAAAGAAAAAACGACACCTGCCTGACATACAGCCCTGTTTATCAATATATACTGGGAGGATTCACTTCAATTATTTATCACTGCCAGTAATTTACTTATAAGAAAGCAAGTAAATATTAATTGTTAATCTATTGTTAGGAAAATAATTTAAAGTTGACATTCAACCGATGGGGTAGTCGAAAGAAAAGTACATTGATACTGAGTGATGAATGGAAGCAAAATGAAAATTTCGGCCGCGGTAGGATTCGAGCTAGCAACCGCCTCCAGTAATCAACCAGTATCAATGCTGGTCTGTCAAACCACTGCTATCTAAGATGATTAGAGTGATTTTATATATATGTTGGAGTTAAGTGCGGTGAGATAAATTACAGGGTGGTTCATTAGATAACAAAAAAAGAACGCAACAGAACCAAATTCCTAAGTGTTTCGTAGAGTAATTTCCCTGATTCCTGTTGAACAACATAATACTTCATGACTCAGCACAAAAAACATTGTTAAGAAGCATACGAACTTAACTGCTTATTGGTTCTAGTTCAGGATGTTATTAATATTTATTTTTTCATGTTTGTTTATTTCAGTTCCTAGTAACAAACACAATTCAAGGAGTTCAACATCTACATTCTCAAGTAACAGAAGTACTATGAGTAGCATCACCCGATTCGACGTAGATGAGGTATGTAATGATTTCAGATGGGTTTGGGTGATTTATGTTCAGTCTGCAATAGACATTATGTAAATCTGGGTTATCCCAATCACAATCAGTGCACAAATATTTAGTTCGTGTCCATAATTAAAGAGACATCAACGTTAAAACATAAACACTGAATATTGTCATCAACAACTGAAATAATACTCTTCACTGATACAAGGAGAAGAGACTGTATATTTGTAACAGACCATTATTTCATCCATCCTAAATGCAACAGAAAGAAGGAAGTAAGCCATGCACATCAAAAATGCGACATCTGAGTGACAGAACTGATTTTCCACTTCATTTTGGTTAGCGAAAATTCGATGACAGAGACAGTGTATCGTCAATCAACTGATCATATTGAATAGTTACGGAAATATTACTATTTTTCCCTTAGGTTCCTGAAAGAACATAGGACTTCAGTAGAACGTCTCAATTTCACTCTCTTCTATGCAATCTCTTCAAACCAGATCTACGATTGCCCATAAGCTCTCATTTCCTCTTCACACGAACTCCTCCATGTCACTTTCGCCTCGAATGCCCAAATCGTCATTTACCATCTGGATTCCACTCAATTGACTGGCGCGTGATGTCCCCGAATGATCTTCTCAGTGCATGCCCAATCCCTCCCCACTCTCTTCAACATATTCATTGGACGATGGGTTCTTGGTTGGTTCGTTCCCAGAGTGAGATCCTTGTTGCTTTATTCTTTCTGGCCATCTGATCGCCATCTTCAGTATCGAGCATAGTCACCTGTTGATGAATATCTGTAGTTTGTTGCAAATGCTTTCCGTGACGCACCAAGTCTCTCAACCATCACATAGAAACACTGAATTGACATTGGTGTTGGAAATGCGGATCTTCTTCTTTAGACTTAGTGCAGTAGATCTCCACACTGATTCAAGATTAGTGAAAGCCTGTCTTGCTGTCTTTCCGATCCTGACTTTGACATCCTCAACTGCTCCTGTCCCGCCTGTAGTTGAAACGGTACTGCCTAGGTAGGTAGGTAGGTAGGTAGGTGAAAGAGACTACTTCCTTTAAGTTTCTCCCGTTGATGGTGATTGAAGCTTTTGTTGTTGGTGGTGGTATTCGTTGGGTATCTTCATCACCACTGTCTTCTCCACGTTCACATAGCCTTCGCTGGCACGCCTAGCCTCTTCTGTCAACTAGTTAGTTTTCGCCTGTACATCTTCGAGTTTGTGTGACATTAGACATAAATCATAGGGCGAAATCAAAAAATCTTCTAGGGTCTTTTCATCGGTCCAGCATATGCCCATTTTCTCGCTCCTCACAGTTTGCTGCACGATCCAGTCAACCACAATCAGGAAGATCATGGGTCACCGTAGGCGGCAACCTTGTCTTACTCCTGTCTTCATTTCAACGACATCACTGAGCTTCCCATTGTGAATCACTTGGTATGTGGCGTCTTCATATAGCTGTTGAATGAGATTCATAGAGAATTGTGGCACTCCGTAGTGTTGAAGCAACTGCAAATTACTTCACGGTAAACACTGTCAAACGCCTTTTCAAGGTCGATGAAGTTGAGGTTGAGTGGAGTTAACTGCAATTCTATACTCTGTTCTATGATGATACGTGGCGTTGCAATTTGATTCGCACATGATTTGTCCTTTCTGAATTCAGCCAGCTTGCTTGTTCCGGTCGTAGTATTGAATCCAGCGCATCCCTTAGTCTCTCCATGATGATGTGGCTTAGTGCTTTGCTCGGGTGAACAGCAGGATGGTTCCATACCAGTTCTTGCATGGTCCTAGGTCTCCCTTTTTTCGACGTTTGACTAGGTGTCCTTTCTTCCGATCGTCAGATACATTCCCTCCCTTCCAAACCTTCTGCAATAATGGTGTGAGCATGTCCGCTGTTGTCTCTGCGTCTGTTTTCAGTGCTTCTGGTGGAATTCCATCTGATCCTCCTGCTTTTCCGGATTTCAGCAACTTTATGGCGTTCAAGACTTCACTCATGCTTTTGTTGGCGTGCGTGTGTTCACTGGTAATTCTGTGGCTGTTGATAGTATTTCAGGACTATGTGCAGTTGGTGTTGGTGGTCGATTTAGGAGCTTTTTGAAGTGGTCAGCCCATTGTTTCCACTGTTTCTCTCCTTCGGTAACCAGCTTTCCTTCACTATCTTTCATTGGTTTCGTCTGCGTTGATCTCCTCTCAGATAGTAACTCGGTTATTTGATATAATGTCGTCAGGTCTCTATCTTTCCTATCTGCAGCCTGTTCTGCTTCACTTGTCAGTGTGTCGTAAAAATGTGTTTTGTCTTTGTGCGCACTCTTATTCACTTCTTTGTCCAGTGTCTTATACGTTGTACTCAGTTCCTGTTTTCGTTGTTCGTCCTTGCACTGGTTTATCTTCTGCTTCACCATCCTCCTCTCCCTCCTCTATCAGCTTCCATGTGTCCGTAGAGATCCATTTTTGTCTTCTTTCTTCTTCCTTCCTAATACGGTTGTGCAGGTTCCTTTTCACATCTCTTTCAAAGAGTCTTAGTGTTCTTACACACAGGTGTCTTAAGGGATGTTGCTCAATGTGTCCCATTTTGTTCTGATGGCTGACGTGAAAATGTCCTCTATATTTCTGTCCTTCAGTTTCTGGGTGTTGAACTTGAACTTTGGTCTATCACCAACTTATCTGAAGGGATTCAACTTGATTTGGAAGGTTCCTTGCACTAGATTTTGAGTGATGTTAATCTACATCTGCTCCCTTTCTTGATCTTGTGTCCAGTAGGTTGCCTCTACACTTTCTGGAGTTTGAGATGAGAATTCATGAATATAATTAAACAACAGTAAAGTAATAGTTTTTTAAGAATAGCCCAACTGTCTATAAAACTTCATGATGCATCAAGAAAGACTATATCGTCCACTTTGTTTTGATTGTTTGGTCGAAGCATACGAAGAAAGTAACCAAGTGAAGAATCCTTATTTTATGACAGAGTGATTAAAATTAACCAATTTACTCTGAACGGAAAGCTTCAAGTTACTTAAACTGATGAAATAACTAAACTTCCACAGATATTCACTAATGGATATTGGTAATATTTATGCACTTGCATACCCTAGCGTGTACTGATAAGTGGACAGACAATATATCACAGCGATATACTTTATAAATGCAGATATCATACAGTATTCGCTTTTTGTAAGTTGACTAAACCAGACGTAGTTTTTTGTTAGTTGAATGATTTACATCAAAAATGTGTGGACTTCACGAACTTCATTCTAACGAATGTACAGTACTCTTACTGCTAAATGGAAGTGGTTACGGCATTTCGAACTTGTGCAGTGTTTTTATACATATAGGATAGTAAATCATATACCTACATTCTTAAGGCAAATGGTTATAAAAGACAATCATTTTTACATGTACCCAATGTTTATACAGAATTCCTTCCAAGAAACACTTGGGTTCCTTAGGCATTGATTTGATTTATTTAGTTAGAAACTAAGTCTAGTACAATGATAATGCCAAACATATCATGATTTTATTCACATGTCAGTGGTGTAAACTATGCATTTTTCCAACCAAACGAAAAGTTATTCGAACTTCGCATATCATTTCTCAGCTGAAAAGATTAATAACCCTCATTTTGCTGGCAGCAGTATTTTAGATGACAGATACATTTTTATCATACTACAAAGTATCGTCCCTTAAAATAATATTGGCATAATTGGATACTCGATAAACAATTGAGTAAATTTACCTAAATTATTATATTGAGTAAGAACTCACCCACTGGTATTATAACCTAAGTTCTAATATTTTAGAGGCTGTTCTTTCCACTTAGTTGACCGCAAAGGGATTCATGTTTGCATTTCTGCAAAATTCTGCCCCATGATTACGCAATATTTCTGGCGGAATTTGTTATTATTTCAGAATCTTGATTCTGCCAGAAACTTAAAAAAATTGAATATTGCATTATTCGTTTTATTGCAATTTCAAATTACTGCAAAATCTGCTTTAGTTTTTTGTAGAGTTGCAGTGTTTATCCCGTTGAGTTTAAGCAGCGTGCATGAACGTAGCACACGTTCAACTAGGTTTTCTTGATAATATCGACGAATAAAATACGTTGTCAGACAGTATACTTACCTATCTAAGAATTTATCTAATCACATTACGACCAACAGATGTGGAACTATATTTCAAGATATGAGATGGGTTTTAAAAGATCTTTTCATTGGTGACTGCACACGTCTGATTGCATAACGTCGTTTCGATTGAAGATGGTTGGAAACATTTACCACTCATTCTTGTAAACATACAGTAGGCAGAAGTAAAGTGAACAGGAGGTAGGCCACTTCGAGATATTAACTAACATTAATCTGATGCATTTAGCCCAATGATAAAAATAAATAAACAAACGACGATAATATTGGGCTTACCTGCAAAGCAACGAAGGTGTCCCATATTCTGCACTGACCCGCGAAAATATTCGGGGTCCAATTTATTAATTAGGTCGAGAAAATGTATGAACTGCAATGATTTTCAACGTAATTATCAATACTAAAGTTGAAATTAAAGGTGATAAGGGGAGTGCAGAGTTAGTATGAGTAGCTTCTCAGTACACCAAGAAAAGGTCTGAAAATTTATAAAGCTACATGTTGGGTATTCTTCGTAATCTTAGACGCTGTTGAAATATAGTGCTATGAAAGCAATTCTCAGGTGAATTGAGATACATTATGTGTGAAAGAGAAAAACTACTGTCTTTTATCACTTTGAGATTAAATTCAATCTATAACCCAGTAGACTAGTCGGTTTACTTAGTTGATAAGTCATCGAGATGTAAATAAAAATGTCTTCTTCAAGATTAAACAGTTCACAATGAAACGTAAGATTGACATACCGATGATTCAATTTTTAGTACTAAGCATCAGCGAACAAGAATCCTGAAACCAAGGTTATGTAGTTTTTATAACCTTACACATACTGATAGACAGTTCATCACTAAACTCTTAGTTATTTCAGTTCACATAGCTCTCTGGCTACCTTATCCTCATTTACAGTTTCATCAGCAGACTCTGATTATTAATGAAAACTTAGAAGCTAGTTCTTTAGCTCATAAAAGCTTTCTTTTATCGTAGAAACTCATCTGTTCATAAAAATAACCTTCAAAGGAATAGCAGTAAGTTATCTCTAAGCGATTTATGTTCTGACATTTTAAATCTTCATTTTGGGGTTGTGGTTTGCACATAGATTCCTTCATATTCTTTAACACGGTTGTTTAAGTTGAACAAAATGACTAATGAAGTGTTTTAGTAATTTGCAGTTAGTTTCCTGCAAACGAAACACTGTTTAGTTGTGTAGACTTTTGGCTTTGTCCGTGTTCTTATTAGGAAATGCCTGTCTTCATTTTAAAACTGACAACCTAACTGAAGTAAAACATATGTCGCACAGGTTATTAGGTGTTACTCAATCAATCAGTTTATTTCCTTGTTAGTAAGGATACGTTCAAACTTATTTTCCTGTAGTTCGAATCACACACCAAGAAAAGACATTACTAATCATCAAGAAGTAGTTATTTATTAATAATTCTCAACAGGATTTCATTATCCTTTTGCTAAGTACTAAATTGTTCTGAATGTGTCATCCAACTCGACTGTCATACGACTCTCCGGAGTCCTGATTTTACTGAAGTCTAAGGCAGTGAAAGGTGACCATCTTATTTTTTAAAAACAAGATGAACCAAGAACTTTTTAACAAATCACTAGTTTCAATTTACTATTTAACTGTTTAATAATTTTCTTATAAAATATTTTAGATAATTTTTTCACTTCGAGAGAAAGCGCGTCATAATTTCCGTGAACTACGTCATAATTTTATCATAAATGATCCCATGGGAGTTGGAAATGTACGCAGGTAATATTTTATGACATTTGTTCAATGTCTTGAATAATATTTTAACAAAGAGTAAAAAAGACAACAAAATACATGATTTCAGTTGTGTTGTATATGTGGGAATCAAAACGATAAGTTGGCAAAGGTTTTTTTAATCCCACTTCACAATAACGACTACTGAAGAATTAGTTTTGAAACTTATGTGAACTGAAACACGTCTCACCCAAAAGGAGTATCGGAGGTTTTCTGCACCTAACGAATACGCCTCATTGGTGAACGTGAAATAAACCACGTAATTCATTTCCCACAGCTTGTGTTGAAGCATGAATCAGCACAACTATGAATACATCAATAGAATATGCCTTCCGTTATCTTTTTGTCAGCGGTATAGGAAATTACATATTTTGAACAATTATTAGTTCCCACCTACTGCGAAAAAGACACTTACAACCTTAGTCCACAATCCACTGGAGATTATTTTAATTACTAAACTATATTCGCCAAAGTTTTATTGCCTTAACTTGTAAATCTCAGTCGTCAATTGGACCGAGTTCATCGGCCACCACTTGGACATGGGCTCCTATAAACGATATTGCAGGTGTTTTCACTTTTGATATTAGTGATATATTGCAGCTAACTGTGGAATCCGGGACGTGCATTTTTCCCTATTTGGGACTCGTTAGCTGGATGTTTTTGTACTCCAGTGAGTGATGTTGTTCTCCCCAAAACTCCAACTCATAACCAGTCGCTCTAAATGTCAGAAATCTAGCCACTAGTCCCTTATTTCTCAAGAGCCACTCTCTATGGGACGACTATAGTATAATCTTGATGCTGTAGCTTGAACGTTTCCGTCATTGAGTGGACCAAATTGGTTGGCCACTGTTGCTATATAGGCACCTGTGTGAATGCCTTGAAATTGTGAGTGGCTATCATGACTCATCGGCCTTGTGGATAGTACTCAGATGATTGAAGTGACTGGTTTCGAGTTAAAGTCTCAGATGGAATGTCACCTCCTGGAAGGTAGATGCATATAGCTGACGAAATGAAATGGGCGTCCTGAATTCCGCCGCTAAGTACTATCGATTATTAAAATAAATTCCCTAATTTGCGCCTATATTGAATCAGTGAGAAACTTTCAGTGTAATGGTAGTAATCTGATAGTCATATGTTCTCTCACAAAGATATCGTCTCTCAGTGGACATAATTGTTGTGTGCTAGGTGTTTTCTTGTTACCAAAGCCTTCTTTACGGCTAAAGAAATTTGAGAAAAGTTGAGTTTCGAAAAACCGGACTGAAGCATTTATTCTCACAAAATGCGTTGCTCATTACATAATTCAATAAGTTCCACTGTCATATATATATATATATATATATATATATATATATATATATATATATATATATATACTGGAGGTAAGCGTAATATCATTGGTTGTATTTCTTGAAAGTATCGAATATGATATGCATTCATGAAATGGAACAGTTTTTTCTTTGTGCATATCAGTCAATGACCACTGACGTGAAGCCAAACATTATTAACTGCAGCGTGTAGAATGGGACGAAAAAGCGTAAAGCTACATTCAAACTAATCCCCAAAGTGGATTTACGTTTGAGTGAATTCATCTGTATTGATGACGTATTAACCTACTCAGCATTTCAAAAATTATGAATATATACACTAGACACCTATGTTACATAATCTACCACAAGACGCAGCACCAAAGGTTTAACAAAACAATCCCCAATTGTATTCCTATTGAATGCAGCATTGAATATTTTCGGGAGACAGACGAAATCAACTTACAACTCACAGAACTGGATTGCTTCAAGTTGCCATGCTTCACGGCAGCATGCAGAGAAAAAGTGGACAGAAAATAACTCACACTGAAGCAGATAAAATTCTATGGGAACAGGAAAGGTTTGAAAATCATGGTTCGCTAAAATTCTCAGGCTACATGAAGCATCAGATAGTGACGAATACACCTGCACCACTGTGACCAATTTTCAACCACTTCAATATTAGTCTCCAACCATTGATTCTTACGGTTTCAGGTACCCCAGCCAGGTACTCTATATCTCTACAGACGGATAAGACCAAAGTCAGAAGCCTTATATGCTGGTGCCATATCTTAGTCTGGCGATCCTCGGCCCTTATTCAAGTTATTCTAACTTCTAGCATTGCATGTCGAGGAAGGCGGTGGTTCAACATGTACAACACATGTTAAAGCCACCTCGGTAGCTGAAGGTTTGCAAATGCATCGACGGACTTCCTATCTATAATAATAATAATTATTATTCCCTTGGGTTTCTAGAGGAACATAGGCATTCAGTAGCACGTCTCCATCGCACTCTGTTATCTGCTGTATTCGGAACCTAGATCAACGACTGCCATTCTCTTCTGCATATTTGTTGGACGATGGGTTCTTGGTTGGTTCGTTCCCAGAGTGAGATCCTTGTTGCTTTATTCTTTCTGGCCATCTGATCGCCATCTTCAGTATCGAGCATAGTCACCTGTTGATGAATATCTGTAGTTTGTTGCAAATGCTTTCCGTGACGCACCAAGTCTCTCAACCATCACATAGAAACACTGAATTGACATTGGTGTTGGAAATGCGGATCTTCTTCTTTAGACTTAGTGCAGTAGATCTCCACACTGATTCAAGATTAGTGAAAGCCTGTCTTGCTGTCTTTCCGATCCTGACTTTGACATCCTCAACTGCTCCTGTCCCGCCTGTAGTTGAAACGGTACTGCCTAGGTAGGTAGGTAGGTAGGTAGGAAAGAGACTACTTCCTTTAAGTTTCTCCCGTTGATGGTGATTGAAGCTTTTGTTGTTGGTGGTGGTATTCGTTGGGTATCTTCATCACCACTGTCTTCTCCACGTTCACATAGCCTTCGCTGGCACGCCTAGCCTCTTCTGTCAACTAGTTAGTTTTCGCCTGTACATCTTCGAGTTTGTGTGACATTAGACATAAATCATAGGGCGAAATCAAAAAATCTTCTAGGGTCTTTTCATCGGTCCAGCATATGCCCATTTTCTCGCTCCTCACAGTTTGCTGCACGATCCAGTCAACCACAATCAGGAAGATCATGGGTCACCGTAGGCGGCAACCTTGTCTTACTCCTGTCTTCATTTCAACGACATCACTGAGCTTCCCATTGTGAATCACTTGGTATGTGGCGTCTTCATATAGCTGTTGAATGAGATTCATAGAGAATTGTGGCACTCCGTAGTGTTGAAGCAACTGCAAATTACTTCACGGTAAACACTGTCAAACGCCTTTTCAAGGTCGATGAAGTTGAGGTTGAGTGGAGTTAACTGCAATTCTATACTCTGTTCTATGATGATACGTGGCGTTGCAATTTGATTCGCACATGATTTGTCCTTTCTGAATTCAGCCAGCTTGCTTGTTCCGGTCGTAGTATTGAATCCAGCGCATCCCTTAGTCTCTCCATGATGATGTGGCTTAGTGCTTTGCTCGGGTGAACAGCAGGATGGTTCCATACCAGTTCTTGCATGGTCCTAGGTCTCCCTTTTTTCGACGTTTGACTAGGTGTCCTTTCTTCCGATCGTCAGATACATTCCCTCCCTTCCAAACCTTCTGCAATAATGGTGTGAGCATGTCCGCTGTTGTCTCTGCGTCTGTTTTCAGTGCTTCTGGTGGAATTCCATCTGATCCTCCTGCTTTTCCGGATTTCAGCAACTTTATGGCGTTCAAGACTTCACTCATGCTTTTGTTGGCGTGCGTGTGTTCACTGGTAATTCTGTGGCTGTTGATAGTATTTCAGGACTATGTGCAGTTGGTGTTGGTGGTCGATTTAGGAGCTTTTTGAAGTGGTCAGCCCATTGTTTCCACTGTTTCTCTCCTTCGGTAACCAGCTTTCCTTCACTATCTTTCATTGGTTTCGTCTGCGTTGATCTCCTCTCAGATAGTAACTCGGTTATTTGATGTAATGTCGTCAGGTCTCTATCTTTCCTATCTGCAGCCTGTTCTGCTTCACTTGTCAGTGTGTCGTAAAAGTGTGTTTTGTCTTTGTGCGCACTCTTATTCACTTCTTTGTCCAGTGTCTTATACGTTGTACTCAGTTCCTGTTTTCGTTGTTCGTCCTTGCACTGGTTTATCTTCTGCTTCACCATCCTCCTCTCCCTCCTCTATCAGCTTCCATGTGTCCGTAGAGATCCATTTTTGTCTTCTTTCTTCTTCCTTCCTAATACGGTTGTGCAGGTTCCTTTTCACATCTCTTTCAAAGAGTCTTAGTGTTCTTACACACAGGTGTCTTAAGGGATGTTGCTCAATGTGTCCCATTTTGTTCTGATGGCTGACGTGAAAATGTCCTCTATATTTCTGTCCTTCAGTTTCTGGGTGTTGAACTTGAACTTTGGTCTATCACCAACTTATCTGAAGGGATTCAACTTGATTTGGAAGGTTCCTTGCACTAGATTTTGAGTGATGTTAACCTACATCTGCTCCCTTTCTTGATCTTGTGTCCAGTAGGTTGCCTCTATACTTTCTGCAGATTTGGATGAAATGAATGCTATTTGTATGTTAGTGTGTCCATCTGTTGAAATCAAGTGCATGTCACTTTGTGAATATCCTTGTTTTTGTACACACTGCCTCCAATCACCAAATCGTTGAATGTGCAGAAATCTGCAAACAGTTCTCCATTCTCGTTACTTTCACCAGGTGCTTCTCGACCCATAATGAGTTCTCCTCCTGTATTGTCTGCTTCCACTTTGGCACTCATGTCACCTCAACCATTAGAATTTTGACGTTGCCAACTGGGATGGGGTCTTGTCGATTACTGACTGCAGTTGTCTGTAGAATTCCTCCTTCTTCTCTTCATCTGCATTATTTGTAGTTGTGTAGCGTAGCATTGTATGATTGTGACTTTCCTTCCTTTTGAGTTGAAGCTTGCTGTCATGATTCTGATCCTTCAGGAGGAGATTGGTTCCCACTGCATGAGAGCCTTCGATGGTGTTGGGGACATCTTGATAACCACTCCAAAACTCTGTTTGCTCATTGTTGTCATCTGGGTGACAATATCAGTGTAGATTAGATTATTAACTCCTCTGCAGTTGACAGTTTGGAGAGTCCACTTCCATTCCATCTGCTTTTGCAGATTCCAAGCACTTTTATGTTATATCTCCTCATCTCTTGGAATCTGGGCAGCCTTGGTGGGTTCGAACATGGTGCGGACATTCCATGTCCCCATGTATACTTTCACTTTCAGCTAGAGAAGACATCGGCCAATGGGATTCCTGGAGGCTTTCATCAACTGGGGTCATCTCGTCTCCCCCATTCCAGCAAGATATAAGTCTATTTTTATTTTTCATGTTATTTTGTGCTTTGAAGTTTCTGTAGCGATTGGATTGGTTTTCTGGGGTGAGGTTGCTAGCCGTATGCCCAACCTTCCGTCTTTATCCTGACTTAGGACCGGCTAGTAACTAGTGAACTAGTTAACCAGGCGAGGTTGCCTTCCTTTCTAGGCCTAGTTGACTTTATCTGAAGAACTTGCTCCCCTTCTTATACGCTGGAATGAATGGTAAGGTAGATCTTTCTGACAGAACTTCCTCTGATTCCCACACATTGCTTACTACCTCTACCATTCTAATTAGCAATTTCCTACCTCTATCATTTCAAGTGGTAAACTGTTAGATCCTTCTTCTTTGCATCGATTGAGGCAATCCTCCACCGATCTTCTTGAAATATAGCTTATACCAATGTGATAAAATCGTGTCCATCATTGGTTTGATGTCGCCGGGCTTGAAGTTAATGTTGGACAGAAACAAGTGATTATTCGAGTAAAATCGAAGCAGACTAACACCACTGTCGGTATATTGGCACGGAATCCCATAAATATCTTCAATATACCTTTCCGGCTTCCAACTTCCCAACTTGAGGTTGGAGTCATTCACCACTATGAGCACATCTGAATATTCAGCTTTATGTAGCATACCTGAAAGATTTTGCAAGTATTCATCATTTGCATTATCCGAAATGCAGTCAGTAGGCTCATGCACAGAGATTATGGATAGCCATCATCAACTCTCAAGATACTTTCTCCCCCTTACGGACCCATTCAGTCAAAAAGCTCATAGAAAGCTGTTGACCGCAATCCAGTTGATGATTGCATTTTATGATCGAATACATAATGGTCACTGAATTTCTGGGTAATCACAAGGTGAATTTTGAAGGCTTACTGCACTAATTAGGAGAATTGAAGTTAGTAAACACATTTGAATCCTGTACACATTTCTCTGAAGCACAGTATGCATCCATGACTGGAGGTTTCAGGGTTCCGAGTATGATACCTGCTGTCTGACTTGATACAAGGACAGGAGAATGAAAGCTGAGATGTTAAATCAATTGAGAGGGGTATCGGAGACTAGAGATGGCGTCTCAATCTTTTCAGTCGTTTAAAACTGTCACACGGAGGTTGAGGAAGTTGTGAGAGGATATCAGGAGGTGAAGGCAAAGGAGAAGACAAAAGTGAGGAGCGTAGGTTTTGGTTGGTTGTGTACTGTCTGAAGCGAACAGCCTGTTGAGACTACCCGGCTGACCACACCGTGGAAGTTGTTTCTGCAGGGTACCTAACAGAAAAAAGATTTATGTGACTTTCGAGCCTATAGGACACCTGTTGAGGCCTGTCACCCAGCCTTCTGACGATTGCAGGTTTCAGATTTGATTTTCCTTATGCTGGGTACTTTTTATCACTATAATGATTAAGAAAACACCTACAGTTCAACCAGCAACGTTTTCAGTGGCATCAAATTCACTATGGAGTGGGGGTAGAACAAACAAGTGCCATTCCTGTTTGTTTACATCAGTAGAAGAACTACCGGAAAATCAGAAACTCAAGTGTACAGGAAGTCAACACACTGACAAAACCCTCAACTACAGTAGCAACAACTCAATAATACTCGAAATTAGTCCCCTAAATACTTTATTCAAAAGGGCGAGAACCTACTGCAGTACGACTTCATGGAGAAACAAAGAAAATTGCTTGGTATCTGTCGTAAAGAAGAACGATTAAACATGAAACTTCATAAGAAGATTCTTATCCAGTTCATCATTAACTACAAAGTCCTTCACAGAAATCAAGAAATTTATCATCCTACGTACATTAAGAATATATCAGAAATCATGACAAGATTATTGGGACCACTTGGAATTGGTGTGGCTCATAAACCAACCAATTCCCTCCAAACAATATTATCCAGACTAAAGGATGCAACAGTCAAAGAAGACAAACCAAAAGTCACTTACAAAATCAGTTGCAATAACTGTAGGCAACACTAGATTGGACAAAGTGATCGCCGTCTTCGCTTACGTCTACATGAACATCATTTGGCGATAAAACGTCACGACATTTCATCACTCATTTCATTTCACATGGATATTATGGACATGAATTCAATTTTGACAATGTAAAAATCTTGAATAGACAGAAAAGACGCAACTAATATCAGAGAATTCCCAGAAGCTTGGCATTCAGGTCAGTTGGCAGTCTATAGATGTATAGGTATAGACCTAATCTATCAACCAATGAGAAAAATGATAAACGACAGAAAGGTCAGGAGTCAAGCAGAGGAACAGCCAACAGGAAACTCTATGCAGTCAGTCAATGACAGCAACCAAAGAAAAAAACCAATCACAAACCAGTTCGTCAAAGCAAACTACTGATTCACTTATGGAGGAGATACTGACAGCTCAATTCACATTGAATTTAGTGCCAACGATGTTCTTCAGAAAGATAATAAATGCCTCATGATTGAATAATCCATATCGGTGAACAAAGCATAGTCAAGCTTCTGGAGATATACCCTACTAATGGGTGCTAAGGATTAGGGTTTAGAGGCTTCCTGTTAACGAACTTCAAACGCCTCATATAAATACAGTTTATTTTCATATCACTTATTGTTGTGGCCACAAAATGGGCATAATCGACAATTTCACCAGCACTTCGAAATTGAAGGATGACATTTTTTTTCCAGCAACTGATAGATTTTCGGGTTTTTGCTTTGTGTTCTTAACTCTCTAGCATATGGCCACGGTTTCGAATACTGCTCCACAAAGCGAGGTTTGGGTGGCCAGATTTCCTCAATAGCTGTCACACAACAGGTGTTGCTCATTGCTTACCACATGGAGGTTCATATGGTTACCGAGTGGATTTCCGCCCACCAACTAATTCACTTACTGCACTCTTATTCTTTCACTCAAATTAATTCCTAAGCTTTATTCTGTCTAAAGATGATTCCAACAGGAATTCATATCTCTAATGTACATAATTATGAACTAGAAACACATCACTTTGAAAACAGAAGATAGTTTTTGGTTTTAATTGTGGCCGTGAACGCTTACATTTCACAACCATAATATTAATTATTTCTTAGTGATCTTGCTCAGTGTTACAGCTGAACAATGTTTTCTATTCATTGGATACTGACTGATTTTTATCTTTAAGTGTAATGGCAACTAACAAATTTGTCTTTTATTATTCGTGTACTAAACATAACGGAATGCAGTTGCAGTTAAATTAACATCAATAAATTAGATTACCAATTTTACTGAACATGTAAAATTTATTTCACTGAATGAGCGACACTATATAAACATAGTGTTACACATTCAGTTGAACTAAAAACATTTCAGAAAATGCAGTAGAAGCACTTTAAAGTGGCATTCACCTTAGTGACTAGCAGTGGAATCCAAAACGCGAATTTCGTCTTATTTGCGACTCACCAGCTGAATGCACCTGCACCCCAGCGAGTGATGTTTTTTCCCACTAAGTACCCATCGCTTCAAATAACAAGGCGTTATCTACTAAGTCACTAGAGCACGATAGCCATCACTTACGCGATGGGTGTCAGTTGTTGTTTTTATACTTGTAGTTACCAAGATGAAAAAAATTATTGATTTCCGGTAGTATTGAGGCATCAACATAAAAGCAAATCTGCCAACAGAGGGGGAGCAATCTAGCCCCATATAGCAACGAGAAATTATAGGTATTAAAACAACAGTTTAACATTACTGTATTCGCCTATTCTTGAGGAATTTCCTTTCATAACCCTTGATATCTTAGAAAACACTGCCCGTTATATTCTAAAGTTTATTGAATTAAACCACATCAATATTCTATCTAACTTCTCTAATATACACTATTTGGGTTATTCTGTAAACTTTCTTGAGAAATTTTAAAGGCTGAAACTCATCGGCATCCTTGTGAATGGATTCTGTATTGCATAATTATTTGAGAAAAATTGGAGAATCATAGGTTATATATTTTTTCGACTTAAAACACGGGGAATGCGAACAAACCTGGAAGGTAAATAAGACCAATTGGGATTCGATGCAAGTATGTATATATATATATATATATATATATATATATATATATATATATATATATATGAATCAGACATACCCTTGTCCACCCACACTAATAATAAAGGGCGTATCAAGTAAACGGAGAGCATATTATTTGAAAAGTCATTCAAAGGATAAAGAAACCTCAATGGTTTCCTAGTACAAAGTGTTTTCCCTAGTAAGTAATACAACAGTATATACAATCAAGAGAAAGAAATCTTTTACTCCAAAACTTTAATACTTCTTTTTTACCCATCAGAGAAGCACTCGGAAGAGTATTAACACGTTTACTATATTGGCCTGTAAAACAGAAACACGTCACTCAACTACTCAGTCAGCTAGGCATTCCAAGAGATAAAGAGGTAAGTCAGTCAACTGAGATGAAATAGCTTGTTGCTACAATTTTTTATATAAAGTGGAAATCTACAAGAAAGTGCAACAAATCATGCATTTGTCTTTGAAAGTAACGAGATTCACCGGCGAACGCTGATATTCTTTCTGACTGTCGGGTCATCAACATTATTTTGTTATCGTTTAGTAAATAACAGTATGACAACTAACCCTATACTTGAACTCTTTACATTTTGATCTCCACTGATTCACTGATGATGTTTCACACCAACAAAGCACTTAAACCAACATTCTGTACTGATTTGCTCGGGTACACGGTGCATTTCAGATGTTTCAGATGAAAGTTATGTTTGTATTGTTTTCTGAAAAGCACTAAAATCAATAGTTATAATACGAAAATGCTAGCTGTGGTAATCAAAAGAAAATCAGATTTTCTATATAGATTATTCTCTTCTCATTTAGTTGGTGAATATGGACCAAACAACTAAGGTTGCATGGTCCAAAAGTTAGTCACATTTTTAGCTCTATATGAATAATTTGATGAAGTTTTGTTGAAAATCATCGCTAAAATAGTGAAAAAAGATTGTATAAACGTCGACCTGTCCGCTTTTTCCTCATATACTACAGGGAAATGTGGAAACTTGAACAGATGGACTTGTATACAAGGTACTACGTTGATATTGTCTATCTGTTTACCATATGAATTAGTTCGTAAATGTTATAAGACTGCAGTAAACCATCAGTAGATAGGTCTACGACTGAATTCATTTGTTCAGCCATTTACACATTACCTGCACCTGCCATCTGTAGATAACCTACGTGATTCAACATGTCATTTTTATGTCAGACAAAGGAATACACAAGCCATTAAAATTTTGGATTATCACGTTCACATGAATGAATCCTTCATTGTATTTCCCTGAGGAAAATACACTATTTATTTCCTAGTGATCCTATATTGCCACATAATGTCCAAAATATAATCAATGGGTTAAATATCTAGGCATCCTTAAATGATGCGAAATTTCATCAAAAATCTACTGGCTAATTCTCTTGTTTTGATTAGTGTGTCAATTAGTGATTAACTGGTTAGTAAAAAATTAGATAGTTCAGAGAATTACCCAGTTAATACTATAAAAAATTTTGAAACGACTAACATTGTTTCCAAACTAATACAAATGGTAGGTTTGTTAGTGGTTAAGGTCTTCAATGTATTTTTGGAACAACTTTTTCTATAAAAATTATAAATGAGTAAAAGTTCTTTAGGCGAATTATAAAGCGAAAGAGTCATCCGAATGTGTTCCAATGTTTCACATTGAATGCGTTTACTTATAGCTGCTATTGATCACACAGTGACAACCGAACATTACTGAGTTGTGGTACTATAAAGAGATTTCAAAATAAGTTATCGTATCGGAACTGTAACCAACATCAGAATCACTCTGATTTGCGAGTTGTGAAAATAATTCTTGATGGAAGCATCTATAAATGAATTTGAAAGGGCACAAAATTTCACACCTGAAAACAAAGTCCCACCTGAATAGATCATCCTAGGGAAGCAGCTATGCTTCATGCAAACATTATTTATATTTCATAACAAGATTTTCATACATTAGAAGTTTCCATACGATTGTCAATATTCTCGTTTCATACAGTTCTTTCCCTTGACAACAAGCATTAGCAGAATACGATGAGTCCACTTTATTTCATAGTTTCACATCAGCTGCTTACAGCTGAAAACAATAAAATCAATTTATACAGAATGTCTTCACACTAAAATCAGTTTGATAGAAAATAAATATGCCAAACTAATATACAGAACTAAGCTTGTCAATATATAGAAGGATTAGACGAATATTCCAGAGCGGGAGTTCGAATAAGTGAGGGAAACAAGTGTATTCAACATGTAAAGAAAGGTTGCACAAAATGTATGAAAGGTCTTGAGATTTGTGTAAAAGAAAAGCTAATGTGAGTAGGATTCATATAATTGGGTCAGGGGCGTGAAATGTAAGTTAACAACACTAAAAGACAAAGAAACCAACTTTTACGAATGGAAAACGATGTATGAAAAGCGTGATGCCTTAAAAAGGACTTGTCCAGCCTCTAGGTTAACCGCCCTCTACAAAACTAATTGCTTACTGAGACAATCAAAGGTTGACAAGTCTCCTCTTCATACTACCTCCAACTGCATCTTTCAGTTCACGCGTACGTACCAAAGCACATACACTGGACGAACAGAAAGTAGGGCTTGTGGTTGCATATTTCAGCATATTTCAAGGAATTTGGGAGTGAAAGGTGAAAACGTTTTCAGCAGCGATATTGCTCATTACCTTACTGATAATGGATATGAAGTGGATACTTAGAAATCATTCATAACAATTAATAAACAGATGAATTAGAATTTTCTGCATTTCACTGAAGCGATAGCCGCTAAACGATTGAAACCGAATTTGCGTTCAGAAAGAAACAGTTATGTCTGTGTTTACCATGGTTAGGACTTGTTCTGTTGACAATCATCTTCCTTTTCACATACATCGTTTTCCATTCGTAAAAGTTGGTTTCTTTGTCTTTTGGTGTTGTTAACTTACATTTCACGCCCCTGACCCAATTATCTGAATCCTACTCACATTAGCTTTTCTTTTACACAAATCTCAAGACCTTTCATACATTTTGTGCAACCTTTCTTTACATGTTGAATACACTTGTTTCCCTCACTTATCCGAACTCCCGCTCTGGAATATTCGTCTAATCCTTCTATATATTGACAAGCTTAGTTCTGTATGTTAGTTCGGCATATTTATTTCCTATCAAACTGTTTTTAGTTTGAAGACATTTTGTATAAATTGATTTTATTGTTTTCAGCTGTAAGCAGCTGATGTGAAACTATGAAATAAAGTGGACTCATTGTATACTGCAATGATGTTGTTCTTGCTCTACTTAAGTATTCTTCTTATGGCAGATCTATTAACTAATAGTAAGAAATGTTGCTACTAGAACATCTTATTCGGCTTGACCACTTTTGTAGAGGTCGAAAATAGACATAAAGTGCTAAAATCAGAGTATATGAACAGTTTTTAGCAGAAAACTGTGGTACACGTGGTATATAATGGTGTTGGCAAAGTAAAGAATACTGGACCTTTAAAAGGTCACAGAACAAGAAAGGGTTTGCAAATTCTTAACGTATGATCCCTAACAAGACTAGAACTTAGGTAATCATTAAAACTATCAGCTCACTTTACAACATATCTGGTTAGAAAAAGTAGTCTACCAAGTTCATAAGACTTTTATCTTTATCTGCCAAATTCCTGGTCACGATTACAGTCAAATACGGAGTGTCTATTCATAGCAAAATTGTTTGCCGGGCTGAGGTTTTCATCAGTAAACGTTTAACTGTCCTGTTGGACATTTTCATCATTACAGCAGCCCTTTGCAAGTAATTGAAGCAGTTAACTGTGCATGAGTATTTATAACTTCCTACTTAGCATGAATTCAACCTGACTGCATACTACTTTGAGAAATCGGAAAGTATAACTTTTAACGGACATCAAACGACCAACTGGATTTAACATATGCAAAGCAGAGAAAGTAGTGAATATCCATGAACGTAAATTACTTTACTTCCCTGTGAAGTTTTGATGACAAGTTTTAGCGTGGAGCCAACAAGTTTGTCAGTCAAAAATCCATCTCTAAAATAGGCTATCTGTGCACGTGATCCTGGTGAAAGCAGAAGCGACAGGGCGTAAAGGGATGAAGAATCTCTAAGTCTCAACTATGTCTATGAATTAAATGACATACAATAACATAACAGGATATGACAGGACTAACTTAGCTAAATGAAACAGAAAATCGATGTGTTTTTTTGATAAGTGAATCAGCACTTGGGATTTGAAAAAGAAATGGTGCACCATGTGTTTAGCATATCCGGAAAAATCAATGTATCTGAGACCGAAAAATTAAGAAACTAAAACTTGAAAGCACAAATGAGAAAATTATATGACTACTCTGACACGATTATGAGCAATAAATTCCACCCCAAAATTCATTAGGAAAATAAGGTCGTTGAACTACAGGTTTCACCTTAAAATTATGTAACCTTTCTCTGAGTATCCACCAAAACCTTGAGTCTTAGAAGTTATTCAGCAGGGGGCTCTGGAATAAGGCCCAGTGCAGGGTTTTCTTACTTCGCGGAAACTCATTATCCTTCTGAGAATTGTACTGGTATCATTCAGCCTCTTGGCTAGTGACTTTATCACTGAGGTAGTCAACTTATTACTACACTAATGGTGAATCAAACTATTTTTACGAATCCGTGATGCGTTAGCATCCAGAATGGTCGGTTTGTTTCGTTTAGTTTTGTGTTATCGTTACTCTGCTTGATAAAACAACACTGTAATTGTCATTCTCTAACCAGAACTATCGTCGCTGATATGAAAAAAAATACGGAACCTATCAACTATGATGCTTGTTGAAGAAAGCATACAGCGAAATTCTTCATAGAAGCAATCAACAACATCATTCTTCTAAATTCCTCTAGAAATATGTTCTGATTACAGGAATTTATCAGATATTTGAAAACAGGGTTAGTAAATGGTTGAATATACATATTTGAAAAGAGCAAGAACAACAACGAGAGCAGGATAAAACGGATCCAATTAATTTATGTGACATCTTATCAGTTGCTTATAACGTAGAATATGAAAATATATAGTCTTGTTGAAAATTTAAAATACTTTAATCCACTGGAACAAGATACGATATTGGTCAGTGGTTAACACGGACGGAAATAGTCATGGAGTAAAGGTCAATCATAACGGCAGATTCGAGGAGGGTTAATAAATGGTTAGCAACTATATACATAACTTAATGGAGGTTTCTTGAATAAAGTAACGGTAAGAGTAGCAATCAGATGTTGAGGAACTTAACATTGTAAGATTGCGTGAGTAGGCCATATAACAAATAAACAAACTATTATGAGTTAAGCTCAGTTAAAAACATTTGATATGAACAAAAGATGATGCAAGTAAATAACTCGATAAAGGATGCTGCAGTCAAACAACAGTCGAAAAAAGTCACGAAGGTAGACAGATACTGACTATAGCTTCTTTTTCACCACATGAATCAAGTTTGAAGCCTTCGATGTCTATGACCTCAACAAACCTCAGGAGGATCGAGTTTGTTTCTCTGTTTATTATCGTTTTGACTATCTGAGATAGCTGTGGTTCGGCAGACCAGTATTGATATTGTGTGGTGATTGAAGTGGAAATGGAAATTTGAACCGCGCTGGATTTGAAGAGGCATCGAATACGTCCGCCTGATGTCCAGTGTCAGTAAGATGCTGAGTAGTTACACTGTTGAGTTACTCCCCCCGGTCGTAGGTTCTTACAAATGTGTTCAGAAGATCTGGGATTCGATCTTCTCCCTGTTCTTCCAGTGTACCTACTTCGACAGGCAAACGTAAATTGATATATAGGTGGAGGCAAGATATGAAGGGTACCAGTCAACTTTTAACCCGAAATGAAAAGCACATTGGTTCGTACACAGAAACCAACCGCGCTGCGTGGAAGGTCCCAAGCCAGTCATGCCTTCAACCATCAATTAACAGTCCCTGAAACTTCATAACGTTTAAAACTGTGCGGCATCTTCCTTGGTGTAATTTTGTTGAGCTTTTTGTCTTCTGTTTTTCCATACCTGTTGATAACTGTTTGCTGATATCAATCGTCCCGTTAGCATTTTCAACTATCTGCGAATCTTGCTGCAATTTATCACGGAAAAATATAATTTCAACTGTATAAAAATTTTTAACTAATCCTTGTTACTGGTTAGTGGGACAAAAACTATTTAAATTGAGGTAGGTACCGTTCCACATTCTATTTTGATGAATGGATCTTTGAAGCATACCATCTGTCATAAGTAGTACGACGATATCCATAAAACTGAACTTTCCATCATTTTTGTATTCCATGGTAAATTTAATATTGTTACGAGGGTTACTAAAGTGTTCTAATACATAAAATGCATGGAATAAATCATTACGTCTGATCACTATGAAAATAAAACTGCCCCAAAGAATTCTCAGGACTGTTAAGACTATGAGATATAAGTCTCACCTCAAAAGAAGTGAAAGTCTAGATGCAACCACCAACGAAAAGTATAGCACGAAGCTAAAATAGGTTTAACACAGAAATTCGTACCATGTTATATTGGTTCATAAGTCACAGAAAATTGATAGAATCTATCGATCAAAAGACAGAGTATAGATAGGAATGTATCATTGTCTTGATTATTGTATTAATTTTTCTGTTTCATTCGCTTATATATTCTTTTTGTACTTACAGCTTATCAATTTTACAGAATTCTACGCTACATTATATCCGCGAAATAAGGAATTTAATTCACTTTCATCAAAGAAAGAGAATAAGGAAATACACGGATTGCCAAACAGTGAAAGACAACTTGTCCCTCTACAACAAACGAATCAGAATAAAGACAATACGGAAGATGATAAAAATAATAATAATAACAATGCATTTAGGTTATTGACAGATTCTGATGAATCAACTGATCTTGCCAACAGTACCGAAAGCAATCGCGATTGGTCTTTTCTTACTGAGTTACCATCACAGTCCGACCCGGTTAGACCCAATCTGTTAGCTCACCAGGCTATGGCTATTCTTAGACAACATTTATTCAAGGGGTAAGCAAGTAACTTTGATAATGATATAAGAGTGAATAGCAATAAGAAGCCCCAGTTAGACATGCCCAATCCTAATTTTGTTCGACAAAGACGAGTTTTCCTTTTAGGAGTACTCGATAGCAGTTTAGTGTGATCTTTAGTGCACCTTGTATCAAAATGCATTAGTCTTGAAAAATATGAAGGCTAGTAAAACACATTAAGTACCTTGTCTAGTCTAAATTTATCTTTTATAATGATTGGTACTCGAAGATAACTTATATGGCCAAATGTTCCTTTCATCTCAACACTTACTTGAAAAGTTATAAATTATGCTCGATAAAATGTTTGTAAGTAAAATGTTGGCTGATCATATCAAAGTTGATTCAAAGTTTGGCTTTCTCTGGGATAAATAGTTTTGATGACTACCTCTAGATATTTTTCATCCAATCACAGCAAACAATCGTCAGCTAGTTAAAATTTTTGAAACTAATTAATTTGTTTTATTATTATTGCGATACAAAGTGTAACCCGTTGCCTAATGTTTTCTAGTTTCACTTTAACATGAACGATGATATGAAAATGCTTTCCAGTCGAACACTGAGGCAACTACTTATAAAATACGCCGATTAGATAACAGTAAATCACCAAAATAACTACAACTATAGTATATTCGATGACTGATCAAATTAAACTGCTAAAGAACTACTATTAACAAATATTAAAAAAGGATCAGAAAAATCAACAAACCAACACACTGGGAGGGGGGAGAGAATGTAAAAAAATGCAGATAGTACGAAAATAAACGACTAAATATGAGTTTTTGGTTTCTTTAAGCAGATTAGTTATCAAAAGGTTGTGGAAACATTGACCAGGTGATTGCGAATATTGGCAGGCTACTTTGCAATCGATAACCGTAACTTTTGCACATGATAGACTAGATTCCTGCATCTACAACTGTCTACGACAAGGCATCAGCAATTTAACTGACCGAAAATTTGAAGCGAACCATTTCTGTCTCTAGAATCAAACGGTTACACTTAATCTGCAGCAACAAGCATGAAACAGGAGGATAATTGCAGCGTAATATAAGCTGGTAGCTGTGATTGAAGATCAAGTAAATTAATGGAACTTCTAGTCACTCATATGGAAACCTTGAACTTCAAAGTCGGTTTCCTGAGTTTATCACAAATCTGAGCTTCTAAATACTTTACACTCATGATCATTACAATGCTTGTGCGCTCAAAGTCAATGCAAACTGACTCATCATCTGACTCTGTCGGAAAAAAAACTAGTATCATACCATGCTGATACTTACATGGAGTCATTTTCACTAGGTAATTACCTGTTTGGACTTGAAAAGTGAAATATCTCTTATATCGCTGCCTGTAAGACTTACAGTGCGTTCAACTTGAGATTAGTAATAATAGATCTGAACACTTCCAGGCTGACCGAAGAATTTGGAATCAAATGAATCCCCTATTAATAAATCTGCAATAAAAACTTTACAGAGCTGTTTTGAGAATTCACATTGGCGACAATATTCAGCACATTACTAGAACATTCAGTTGAACAAACGGAAGTGTAGCGCGATGAATAAATCCATTTCAATATGTATATCGCCCATCAACTGCGCGTAATTATTTCCGAACACATGAAAAACTACACACTAGAATATTCCTCCAGTTAATTTTTTTTTCTCGTCTCAATAATTACTCAGTAAATTAAATCATAGAATGCAGGAATTTCAAAATCATTTAATTTGGTCATCCAGAGAGGGAATTAGATAAATGTATCCCGTTAAAACGATCAATTCAACCTATTAATAAATCGATTATAAGTAGGACTTTATGTCAGTTTAGTGGAATCAAATATTATTATTTTTGTTTCAGAAGTATACTATCGATATTTGAACTGTGATGGCACTAACGACCAAGATTACTTAGCACTCGGATTTTCTCAGTGAAAATAAACATCTTTTAGTTGAGAGAAATTGTGAAGAGATGACATTTTATATTCTATCATTAATCCATTCACTCTTAAAAGTGTTTTCATCACATAATTACATCTTTCTTAGCATCATGAATCAAGAATACATTTTTAAAAATACTCCTAGGGTAATAACTGTACTGCCATGCTAATAATTTGTTGTTTTGAACCTTCAGAGGTGTGATTAAAATGTATTTGATGCAGTACCTTCTTGTCGAATTTCATCATATTGATGTAACATTTTCTTATATTCTCCGTAATTTGGAAACCAACTAACGCCTATAAAATGTAAGCCTATTACCTGCCTCTTTACCAAGTTTTCCAACAAAAGGTTATCGTCCGTATTTACAGAGTGCAGCATAATGGAGAGGATTAAGTAAATATCTAAGATGAAATGGCAAAAACACGACCTAATAATAGTTACAAAACACACTTAGAAACTAGCAACAAAAAAGCTGAGATGTCAGTTTCTACCCACTATGTGTAGGTCAACTATTTTTTTATTATTCGTACTGAAAGACTAGTGAATATATAAGGCTATACTGGCGTTTGTGGCAGTCGAGAAAGAGCTCATCATTGATAATGAAGTCTACAATAAAACTTGTGTCAATTGAATAAATCATGCTATAAATGAAGTTATGGCTAACTTCCATAGTCGCAAAATTTCAAGAGAGAGTAGAGAGAGTAGTGATAAGATCTCTAATATCCTCGGTTATAGGACATATATTTTAAAGCTGTTAGGAATGAGTAGGATTCAGAAAGTTTCAATCTATCTAACTTTCAAAAACAACGCACAGTAGAGATATGTGAATAATACAAATAATGTATTAAATCAGAACGTAAACTACTTGTCACGTAGAAAATGAAAAAAACTACCTATTGTTGGGTTGCAAAATCAAACGAAGAGAATACGCCAGTTTGGACACTATTATCTATAGAAAACCATCAAATTCGAACAAATACTTAGATTTTACATCAATTTATCCTTAAGGTAGCTTCAGCAAACCGATTAAGTAATCGAGACGTTACAAGATCGAATAAAAAGCCGAAAGTTACAAAAGGACATAGTCATTTAACACCTATCCTTAAGTGTTTTTAAAAAGGTTTATAAAGATTGGTTAGGAAGAAAGAAATATTAATATTAGCTTTAATTGCAGAAGGCTATCAAAAATTCTACGTAGGATTCTTAAAAATGCTGGAATAAGTATGGTGTTCAGTTCTATAGACTCACTCAGAGATGACATATGTTGGCTCAAAGATCCAATTAACCCACGTTATCCTAAATACCACACAATGAAATGGCATTAATTACCAGATGTTCCCAGCACAATTTATTTCTTAAAATCATTCCAAAGCAATCACACAATTGTGTAATACATCTAAACAATCCTACTCTTTTCTATTCTTTGATTTTGTTAGTATCAAAATTTTCTAAGCAACAAGGATTGGTGTTAAGTTATTCCTACTGTATGTTTTAGGCAACGATTCCATAAATAAAACCTTAGTTATTATTCTCTGTCTGCACCAATTTAAGCTACTGCTTAGGTCAGTCCACCTCATCGTATTGTTTTATTCAGTGTGGCACGACGAACAACTGTTTGAGCTCTTTACCAGAATTCTCACCTCCGTAAGGTCCACCATTCTATATGTAGCTGGATCTTTAATTTTGCCAAACAGGTTGATGCTGGACAGTAAGTTTGATTTATGTGCTTCACCTTACAGTCATTTTGTCAAAAAGGTTCCACAGTATCGTTTGACCGACAAAATTTGTCTCGAGGTCATTTTGTAGGTTTGAACATTTATCTTATCATGACCTTATAGGGATAGTGCGTAAGGCTTCTTATATCTCTTAATTATATAACAAAATAAGATTTTTAGTGCTTTACAGGTGGTCGAATCATCATTATTGTTTGTGATTCTAATCACACCAAAAGTAGCATTTTTGACTCCGGTAGTTATGGATTTCTGCATAAAACTACGGAAGTAGCCGTTCAGAAGTTGCACTGCTTTCTTATCTTTCACTTCTCGACTAAGATTTTCTGCCTCACTTTTTGCCCTTTGTACCCAATTACATTTGACAAAACCTGTGTCTTAGTTGATGCACAATGGGATGATCTAAGCAGTGATTAGTATTTTAAAGTGTTATGTGTACACTCGGATCGAAACTTTCGTCTCACATTCGCTTCACTTCGCAAACAAATACTGATTTTTTCATACGGTACATCTTTCTTCCCAGGTAAACTTGATTGAAGGGTACTTGATATTTTCAAAGATACATTGTCAAGGTTTGATAGAGTCTTTTCTTACTTGATAAATTTAAAGTATTTGGTAGTTGATATAAACAAAAGCGAGGTTCTTAATTTTGTCTCACTTTTAATTAATTAATCGCTTTAGATGCACCAATCGCTCAATATTTATATTTTACTGGAACTTAGATCCCTCAGTCATACCTCCATGGAGAGTACTTTCCACGATAGTCATTTTCTTTGGGCTAGCTTTTACTGTTCTTTATGCCTTGATTACCTCACTAGATGATGATCTTAGTACAATATTCCTTTAGGGTGTAATATTGGTCAAAAGTAAAACCAGTATTTTGACAATTACCGGTTAAGTTTTTCCAGTTAATTAGTAACGCAATAAAAATAAATTATGCTGACAAGTTTTACGGTCTACAATGAAGCGACCGAGTGAAAACAACTGGTGGAGATACGAGAAGACTAATAATCCAATGAGACACTTGGACTGGATACGAGTAGCGGCTGTTTTTCCCTAGACCTGATACATTACCTAGCCGCAAAACCCAAAAGGCAAAGACCGACCAGTAACTGTGAAGAGGACAGTTTTGTTTGACAGAGGTGCGTCATTTAGATAGTTTTTCTTCAGAAAATAAAGTCACTAGTTCAGAAGTTAGATACTCATTTTCATTGGTCGGATTAAAGACAAAGCTATCCAATAAGCTTTTCCTAGAATACTTTAACCAGCCGACGTGAACAGTAACATGAAGCTAAGGTTGAAACGGAAAACTTCTACCTTAGCGAATGATGACTTAGAATGCTGATTTCGATTAAGGCCGCTTCCTATCACACCACTAAAACGTTTAAAGCAATAAACATCTGTTTCATAGTATGATACTCGTGAGCGATGCGAGCCCATGATACCTCGTAGGATCAAGTCCAGGACAATTTTAGGTATCACTGCAAGCACACCACCATTAGGCTACTGGATCGAAAAACAGTGATCCACATGTTCTTATTTCTTTTAATTCACCATATAGTCCCACCATCATCCAATGAGATAAGCAAGCATTTGTTCTCACATCCGAGTAGGCTGACTCCAAAGATCACTGATTCTATATCAAACTAAGAAAAACTCCTTTTGAATTAGGTGACTATGAGGGATTGAAACAGTGATTAAATTGGTCACATTCAACATATACGTCAGCGGTGTCATCCCACATGAGAGCTCATTTTTGTCATTTACTTATGTACTACTTTCATACTGTCAATTATCTATTTACTTATCAGCCTCTAATGAAAGTATAAATGCTTCGAAAAACCAATAATTTTTATTCTCTAGATCACTTCAGTTAGACAACTTATTCAAGTTAAATACTCATGATGGACAAAATCAGTTAATTGATCGTAACGAATTTTATCAAAAACTTTCTCAACTTGGTTTATGCATGTCGAATGGTGAATTTATGAAGTTTTGGAAACGGTGAGTGTATATACAAGCTATACATCCAATACTCATCATTTTCATCTTTGCAAACAATTACTGGTGTTACGACCACTCGTTCATGTAACCCCTACGTTTCCCCATCAGTCAAAATTCTTTTAGCCTTAAGTGATCTGACCTCCCAGTATCCCTAAAGCTGTGTAAGAAGTTAGGAGTTTTAACCTCATTAAGACCTAAGGCCTCATATTCTCGATATATGGAGAAAAATCCTACGGTATTTGGGTCTTGTATTTTCTTGTACTTCATTTCGGTGTACAGAACTGATAAAACAGTCTTGGAAATTGTACGTACTTGTAAAGCTGTACTGATATTACCATGTGACTTATCCTGGTGCGACTTTTTCGAGCTGATGATGTAGACAGCGAGAAACTCAAGGTCACAATAACAGTTGACACCAGTTACGCAATACGAGGTCATCATAACTAAGTAGTTCAGTCGATGATGGTATGGTGCTAGACACCTAGACTGATGTCAAATACTCTGCATAGCTTAACAAGAAACGTATGATAAGCCTCCAGTATGAAACCAAAGTTTGAATGGCATCTCATCTGAAGAGTACTTCCACGATGCTTCATTTTCCGTGTCCAATATTGGCTTTTACGATTTTAGCGCCAAAATTTCAACCTAAGAGCTTGAAGACTATGGACTTGAAACCCTTAATATATATCATATATTATCATTATCTGTTTAGCCATTATCTTGCAAAATGATTTACTCAAGAGCCAAAAAACTTTACTTGCTGTCAAGTTCACTGCCACTTACTGTATGTTATTACAACACGTTTATTGAAAATAAAGGAAGCAACAGTAGCACAAGTGTCTTATGTATAGTTATTTCACATACAAACTCTAACTTATTTAAATATCAGTGCTCCAGTTTAAAAGCAGAGTGTAACTACCCCAGTTAACAACCGCAACGAAAGATAACTTCTAGGAATTATATATGGCGAATAACAATTTTATTGAGAAGTGAGACAGGCTGAAATGACAGCTGGATGAGATAATTATCACAATTTACATAAATACAGAAGAGGATGGTGGAATGCGTTAATGAAAGAAAGCTCCGAAGATTTAGGTTAACAAAATGTAACACAGAACAATATCAGTAAATATTAAAAAGCATAGAGTGTTTGTCATGGAAGTTCATAAATATTCGGATTTCATCGTGCTTGTATTATTATATTATATATTATTATTATTAGTCCCTTAGGATCCTAACGGAACATAGGGCTTCAATAGCACGTCTCCAGTGAACTCTGTTCTCTGAAATCTTTTGAACCTGGCTCCATGACAGCCCACAAGCTCTCATTTCATCTTCGCACGATCTCTTCCATGTCACACTAGCATGCCAAACTCGTGGCTTCCCATGGGGATTCCACCCAGGGGCCTGGCCTGGCGCGTGATGTCCCCAGTTCGTCTTCTAAGTGTATGCCCAATCCATCTCCACTTCCCTCCACTGCATATTTGTTGGGTGATGGGTTCTTGCTTCGTTGGTTCGTTCCCAGAGCTCCTTGTTGCTTATTCTTACTATTCTGGCAATCCATCTGATCTCCAGTAGCGAGCGTAAGCAGTTGTTGATGAATGTCTGTAGTTTGTTGGAAATCCCTTTCGTGACGCGCCAAGTCTCTGAACCATACAGAAGATCTGACTTGACTGAATTGGTGTTGAAAATCCGGATCTTGTTCCACATGCTGAGTGGAGTACAGAAGATCTCCACACTGGTTTCAGGTTAGTGAACGCCTGTATTGCTGTCTTTTCGATTCTGACTTTGACATCCTCGTCTGTGTTTGTGCCGCCTGTAGTTGAAACAGTGCTGCCCTGTCTAGATAGGTGGAGGAGGTTACCCCTTTAAGTTTCTCCCGTTGATGGTGACTGGAGTTTGTTGTTGTTGTTGAAGTTGTTGGTGCGGTATCTTCATCACTTCTGTCTTCTCTATATTCACCTGAAGTCCGTCTTCGCTACCCTGCCTTGCCTCTTCTGCCAACTTCTTAGTTTTCGCCTGTAGATCTTCAAGTTTAAGCGACATCAGGCACAAGTCATCACTGGCGAAATCCAGATCTTCTAGGTTCTTTTCCGCAGTCCAGCCAGCGTACCCCCCTCTTCTGGCTTCCCACTGTTTGCTGCATGATCCAGTCGACCACAACACAATCAGGAATATCATGGGGGATAGTAGGCAACTTTGTTTCACTCCTATCTTCACTTCAAAAGCATCACTGAGCTGAGCTTCCCATTGTGGCATGTGGCGTCTTCATATAGTTGTTGAATGAGGCTGATAAAGGTTTACGGTACTCCGTAGTAATGAAGCAGTTTCCAAATTACCTCTCGGTCGACGCTGTCAAAGGCCTTCTCAAAGTCGATAAAGTTGAGGTGTAGAGTTGAATGCCATTCTATACTCTGTTCTATGATGATGCAAAGCGTCACTTTGCAATTTGGTCGGCACATGATTTGTACTTCCTGAAGCCAGCCAGCCAGCCAGCCAGCCAGCCTGTTCCGGTGGTAGTTTTCAATCCAGTGCATCCTTTAGCCTCTTCTCTCCAGGATGATGCGGCTTAATATTTTGCTTGCTCTGGGTGGACAGGAGAGTGATTCCGTACCAGTTCTTGCAAACACTGAGGTGTCCCTTCTTCGGGGGTTTGACAAAATAACCCTTCTTCCAATCACCAGGTAGCTTCTCTTCCTTCCACAGCTTCTGCAATAGTGGTGTGAGCATGTCCGCTGTTGTCTCTGCGTCTGTTCTCAGTGCTTCTAGCGGGATCCCGTCTAGTCCTGCTGCTTTCCCACATTTCAGTAGCTTCATGGCGTTCAGGACTTCCATTTTTGTTGGAGGATTTATGTTAACTTGTAGTTCAGCGTTTGTAAGTGGTATTTCTGGACGAAGTGCAGATTGTGGTGGTGGTGGTCGATTCTAGAGCTTCTTGAAGTGGTCGGCCCATCGTTTCCTCTGTTTCTCTTCTTTGACATTAGACTTCCTTCATCATCTTTTATTGGTTTCGTCTGTGTTGATCTCTTCCCAGATAGCAACCTGGTTATTTGATACAATGTTGTCAGGTCTCTCTTACCTGCAGCCTGCAGACTGTTCTGCTTCACTTGCCAGTGTTTCGTAGAAGTGTCTTTTGTCTTTCCGTGCACTCTTCTTCACTTCTTTGTCCAGTATAGTGTTTTATACATTGTACTCAGATCCTCTTGTCGTTGTGCATCCTTGCACTGATTCACCTTGTGTTTCACCATCCTTCTCTCCTCTATCAGCTTCCAGGTATCCGTCGAGATCCATTCCTTGTCTTGCCTCGTCTTTTTGCTTCCTAATACGGCTGTGCAGGTTTCTTTCCACATCTCTTTCAAAAGCTTCCAGTGTTCTTCCACACAGGTTTCTTCAGGGATGTTCCTCGATATCTCCCATTTTGTCTTGATGGCAGACGTGAAGATTTCTTTTGTAGTTTCATCCTCCAGTTTCCGAGTGTTGTACTTGAACTGTGGTCTATCACCAGCTTCCTTGAAGGCTTTCCACTTGATTTTGAAGGTAGATTCCTTGCACTAGATAGTGGTTTGAACCTACATCTGCCCTTCTTCTTGCCCTTGTGTCAAGTAGGCTGGCTGCGTCTCCACTTTCTTGAGATTGAGATAAAGTCAATTTGATTTTTAGTGTGTCAATCTGGTGAAATCCATGTCGCCCGCTTTGTGGATATCCTTGTGCTTGAACACACTGCCTCCAATCGCCAAATCGTTGAATGCACAGAATTCTGCAATAATTCTCCATTCTCGTTCATCACCTCACCAAGCGCTTCTCGACCCATGGTTAGTTCTCTTCCTATGTTGTCCCCTCCCAGTTTGGCATTCATGTCACTTCACCCATTAGAATTTTGATATCGCCAACTGACGTCTTGTCCAGTGTTGATTGAAGTTGTCTGTAGAATTCCTCCTTTTTCTCTTCATCTGCATTATTTGTAGGTGCATAGCATTGTATGATTGTGACCTTTCTTTCTTTTGAGTTGAATCTTGCTGTCATGATCCTGGAGGAGATTGGTTCCCACTGCATGAGAGCCTTCGATGCTCTTGAAGGGGACATCATGACAGCCACTCGATAACTCAATGTGCTCGTGGTTGGCGTCTGGGTGACAATATCGGAGTAGATTATTGATTCTCCAGTTGACAGTTTGGAGAGTCCACTCCCATTCCATCTGCTTTCGCAAATTCCAAGCACTTCAATGTGATACCATCTCATCTCCTTTACAATCTGGGCTGCCTTGTTAGGTTCAAACATGGTGCGGACATTCCATGTCCCCACGTTCACTTTCGCTTTCATCGAGAGAAGAGGAGACACATCAGCTAATTGGCTTCTCGAAGACTTTCATTAACCAACGTCATTTCGCCTCTCCGATTCCAGCGAGGAATAAGTTTGTTTTTATTTTTTATATATCGTTTGTGCTTTGGAGTTTCTTTGGGGCTAGATTTGTTTTACGGGGTAGGGTTGCTAGCCCTATGCCCAACCTTCCCTCTTTACCTGGGCTTAGGACCGGCTAGTAACTAGTGAACTAGTTAACCAGGCGAGGTTCATCATGCTTGTAGTATATAATAATCAAATTTGCAGATTCATACTAATTCAAAACACAGAACGTTGAGAAAACATTACTTTTCACTGAGTCTTCTTCGAAAGCATAAAGCCAATCATATTCAGTTGAGATTTAGTGTCAATTAACTTATTATTGCAGCCTGAGTTCCTTGATGACTGAATAAAAACAGAAAAATGAATCCAATTTACTTACAGACTGATATTTGTTTTGGCTAGTACTTGTGAGTACATGAAAATACTGAAATAATTCCTAATTAACTGTATACTACATTAGGTGACCGAAATCGTTGTCACCAGACTGCTATTATGCCACAGTTCAGCTGCTACACAGGCGATTCGCGTGCACATTCTAATCGTGACATTATTTCATAACGTGAGTAAATAAAATACTCACTTATAGGTAAAAATGTAACCAAGACAAAACAATAATCGTCTAACCATCTGAAAAATAGCAGTCATTTATAAGAAGTATGAAGGTAGCTTCTTCTTATAGAAGTAGGTAGCTAATAAGTTACCATCTATACGTATACATTCAAATTTATATTCGCTTTAATAGTTATATGTAGTAAGGTAACTAGGTTTTTCTGGTCACAGGTTTTCGTAAGTGATTTCTAATTGAACCAAACCATACTTAGCAATCTTGTGCACATTCTTGTAGTAGGCAATGAACCGCATCTCACATGTCGGTGCTATTGCTACTACCTGGCTGCTAAAACTCATGTGTGAAGCAGGTGTTTGAACCCACAACCTAATGGTAGAAAGCCACCTCCTTCGGCCCACCAGCCACAACTCCACACCACAAATTGCATGTTTCGGAATTTAAAGACTGAATAAATGTAATCACTTTACAATTTAACTTTTTTTAAATTTCAGATTGAATCCCAAGAATGAATCAAGTTTACCAGCTGAATATTTTCTACAGCATATGAATTTGAGCAGTAATCATAATAACGGACAAGCATCAAACAACATGCTATTAGGTTTGTTGAAAAGGATTTTATTCATTTTCTCACCTAGTGAATTTCTTCAATAATTTTCAGTCAAATACTCAACCTTTCTAAAATCGTGCAGTAGCAATTTTTACGTTATCAAAATAAGTTCAAGTTTTAGACTATTTATTACCATGGCTTCCGTATTTTGAAGAGGTCTTATTCGTGAGATTCCCAAGCACTCTATGGATGACAATAAAGTTGGACGACAGTTCCATCTGGCATCAATAATCGATTCAATGTTCGAAAATTTAAATGTGAAAGAATCTTCTTTCTCTCTTGTAAAACCAAGATGGTAAACAGAGTGTGCTTACTGAACTCACCAACGAAAATAAACCAAGTTGGTCTTTCAAGAGAAAGAAAGATCCTTCCACATTTGAATTTAAAGACATTTAACAGATTCTCGACAACAGGTGCATCCACATTCTAACTGTGGTGTCGTCTACAGAGCATGTGGAGATCTCATACAAACTGTGATAATAAATCTTCTTCAAAGTGCTAAAGCGAGGTTAATTCATGCAAAGACGCATATGAAAGATTTTTCAGTCTTCAACCTTACAACGGATTTAAACTGGTATGGATTTTACCGTTTTGAAACATTTTTTGTGCTCTTACTACCGTATTACATCTACCCTTGCTCATAATATAGGAAGTAGGATTAGCAGTCCATTGAAAATCTGCCGGAAATCGTGTAAACTTGTTTTCTTAATCAGTGATGTCAACCAGAAGGGTATACCTGTGTGAGAGAACTTACTAATGTCATAACTTTATGCAGTCTCATAGAAGAATATTTTACTCCAGGTTTGATAATAGTTAAAAAGTGATTGATGTTGAAAATATGCATCCAATTAACTCTTCCTAGATGTCCACATCGTGGCAGATTCCTCACTGCGTTGCACGAAAAATAAAGTGGATTACTACGTGAAGCTCAATCAGTGTATGAGAGTGCTCAGCCATAAAAGTTGTGGTGAATATTTGATTTAGATTCTAACTAGTCCGGTGCATACTAAACTAATATCCCAACTTTGTATAACAATTAGATTTTGCCTTCTTTCTGGATGATGTATCCTAACCCTTCCCTGCATTAGGCCAAATGGATTGATGCTGACGAAACTCCAACTAAAATCAAAAGGACTCTTTTGGTATTTCCTGCTCCATATCATTTACTGTACTGAGAAGGCACTCAACTCCCTATCAAAGGACAAGTATAAAGTGCGGCAGTCTCGTCTATCTTACATATAGTTTTGAGACATAGCCACTAAAAGTAGGAGATATGAAAAGGTTAGAGATTTTTATCACGAACATCCTGGTAGCATCGCTCGTGTGAGTTGAATTATTGTGTAAGTAATGACAGAGTTTGAAGTCGAGTGAAAGATAGAGAAGGCAAGTAAGTTGACGCTGTCATAAACCTCCTAATGTGGTAGTTTGAACATGAGTTATGCGTGCCGAGTCACCACCTTTCTCGACGCGCAATGCTATGCGAAGTAACAGTATGCTAGAGAAAAGCTCGGGGAGGCCAGTTTATATACGTGAACAATAAGTTGTTAACTTCTCCTAAAAAACACAGATGGACCATTACTTACTGTTAAGATATCTAATATAATTTGCTAAATCATTTGTAAAGCAATTGAGACAGCTGAATGACAAAAGCAGCCACTCACTAGTTTATTAGAAACATATTGTTCTGAGGTCACCTTCTATCTGAAAAAAGTTATCACACAAAAAGCGATCGCATGAAAATTCAGTGAGAACTGAAATTTTACAATCTTTCCAAGACTAACTAACTAGTTCACACAGTATACCTCCGCATTTCTTTTAATTCAGGTTAATACAATTCGTTTATTCCGGTTTACAGAAAACTACGCATCCTTTCGTTCATGATTTTTCTGTTCGCTTAATTATTTTAGCGATAACCGATGGAGAAATGACATCATTAAATCAATCTAAATTATCACCAATACAAAGCATTATCCCAAGTTTAATTAGAAGATTTCGTAAAGGATATAGAAAAGCTTGTAAAGCCGTTGAAATATGTACAAAGCGTTACATTAAAGATCTGGCAGAAAATCCAAATTCTTTACACAATGATATTACCCCTATGCCTGAAGGTTATACAAATGCTGACATATTTATAGAAGTGTTGAAGTATTTGAAATTACCTGTATTAGAAAAAATACAGTTAGGGAAATTTTTCAGTCGTTATGGATTAACACTTACAAGCAGAGGTTTACTACCATATGCAGAATTATTTCGACGTTTTCAAGATCGTTCTGAAGCTGGTGTAGTACATCAACTATTGACCTACACACTGATCTCGAAGAAACCATATAATGAGCAGTAAGTAAAGAATTTAATGTGCAATTATTTATTGATATTTTCATTTCCAATAGATTACTGTACTTGATTGAATTGACTGGCCATATAGCTCCTTGAATGGATATCTCGAAATGACCTCAAGCTTTATTTTGATGTTCGTGGCTAGCAGTGAAATATAGGATGCGCATTCAGTCATATTTGGGACCCATCATCCAGCTGACAATTATCAAACAGGAGAAAATGCGTATTCTGGACTCCACCACTAACCACCAATAGGCAAGCATTGTGATATTCAGTTGTATCTGAATACCTTTTACTGTTTAAAGATCTCACGAAACTTGAGTAAAGAAACAAAATAAAATATAAACTCCTTTAGCAGCTTCCTCACTTTTTACAATTTCCATCTTTTGTTTACCACAAGTATAGCCAATTAGTTAACCTGATAATAAGGCGTACGACACAAAAGTAAAATTTCTTATTTATTTTATTCTGTAAGTTTTATGGCTTTTATAATAAATCCGATAGTTGTACTGTTAATAGTAGAATATGGTCATTACGTTATTTTCTGTTGCAGTAAAACAAATTTAGCATATGCACGATGGGTTAGAAGGCTATGACAAAGGTAGAAAACCAACAGTATAGTTGAGAACTAGTCACAGGAGTACTGTTACATTCGTACTTCGTCAATATGTCCTGGAATTTATCGGCTGTATCCCACACTGAACCATCTGACTTAGATATCATAACACTGCCAACTGTCATTTAACTGACCAGCACGGCATATTGAACCAGTGCATCTTTTCACAGGTTTCGATATTACTCATGCCCCAACCGACCAGTTGGTTATTGGTATGTAAATGAAAACGTCTGCCAGATTGCGATAAGTTTTCTCTCACAGTAAATGCCCGCAAGGTTTGATATTTAATACAAGTATAATAGCTGGATCCCGCCTGTTATCTAACTCAAGCATAGTTTCCACTGGAAAATGAAATCTTCATATCCTAGAATCTGACTTTGTAACTTTACAGTTTGTACCTATGTTGCAAGTTGGGTAAGTGTACAATAGTGGTAACATCGTTAATTTCATAAGTGTTTAAAGTAGGTAAAGATTTCTGAGATGACATCACTTCTCTAGAACATTCAGATGCAGTCTATCAGTGAGAAATACCAGGCATAAAATCTAAATTGTAGATTACTTTAATTAGATATAATCGCTTAGCATCAAAAGTATATCTTCTTTGCCAGTGTCGATCAAGCACGCTGTACGATCAGTTAACCACTACAGCATATCAATTGAATTCCTGACCAAACTACATTTGTTCCGGATTCATATCAGTTAACAGGCATTGATAAATAAACAAGATTGTTGTTACTGTAAAAGTTGTTTGATGTGAACAAATACGAATATGCTTTACGAACTCCTTCAAATAAAATACCCAAAGTAACCACAAGTAAGCAATGATGGCTGATATAGTTCGATAAGGATATCTTAAATTCAGTGATTTAGTCATTTTTCTTCGAGATGGATATGGGTAGAAAGGCATTACAAAGTGATGAAAACTAATGGAATTATCATTTCAAAGATTTATTTTGGGCTATTATGAAAAAAACCTCACTGTTAAAAAATTTCTGTTTTACCTCAGTGAAAATGCATACAGATCAGAGTTAGTTACTCTAAATTATATGGAATGCTTTCGTAATTAAGTGTTTTGTCCCTGTCATGAGAACTTTCATCAAGTTGTCTACTGACTTTACTTTCAGAGATGAAAATATAATAAAACTTGAGTACGAATTAACTCGAAAATTCCATAGAGATTTCTTAACTTTACTTAATACACTCAGGTATGTGTTATTGTTTATTCTTTGAATGAATTAAAAAGTATTCCGAAATTTTTTCAATGTCAAATAGATTCTGACCAATAACTTATTCAATTATAAGATTAGATAATTAGGTCTATTATTCTCTGAATGATTGTGAGACTTCTATCCTCGTCTTAATGCATACCGCATGATAATACAAGTTTCAGCAAATTGCTTAGGAAGACGATGAAAGATTTATGAACAAACCAACCAGCTCAGCGAATTCAGCCCCTCTCTCACAAACTTTTTATCTGAGCTAGAAATATTCCTCAGTATTTTAAAACACGTAAACTGCATTTAAAAACCAACCCATTTGCACTCCTTTTGAATTATCAAGACGTTATTACCAACAGCTCAAAGTAGTGTCATGCTTTATCTGATGTTCAACATCCTTTTACCAGACAGTATTCTTAGGTGTGTAGTGGACGCTGCTGATCAGGATGGATATAAGTATTACATGTTGAGAGGGCGACAAAAAATCATAGGGAATTATCAGCAATGGGTAAAGATTCTGCCGAGAAACTCAAGAGACAATGTGTGTGTATCAAAAGCGAATCAGGATAGAAGCAGAAGAAGAAATGAAGCACATTGTGCAAATGACTGTCTTAGTGTAAAGTGTATAATACTTGATGACTATTGTATGAGATGTCAATAATAAACATTCTTCCTCACCCACACGATCCACGCCGTCATATGCCGATTTCGCTAGACCCCTCAGCATAGTGCCAAGCACCAGGATCTTCGCATCTGGATCCTAGACACTCAGTAGCTCCGCGACAGATTCGACATCCCTGGAGAAGACCTCGGTGCCTTCATCCTCAAACACTGAAGGCCACGGAATCCTCATCACCTTCATCCTGGAAGCGACACCACTTGTAAGAAATGCGAAGATGGAGAAGAAGAAAGGGATGTTCATTACTGACATCCCGTACAGCAGTCATCAGATATGGTACACCTTGCACCAAGACAGTCATTTGCACAATGTGCTTCATTTCCTCTTCTGCTTCTATCCTGATTTGCTGTTAATACGCCCACGTTATCTCTTGTGTTTCTCTGGGCAGAACCTTTACCCATTACTGATAATTCCCTATGATTTCTGCCACTTCTCAACATGTAATACTTTTATCCATTCTAATCATCAGCGCTCACTACACACCTAAGAATACTGTCTGGTAAAAGGATGTTGAACATCAGATAAAGCATGACACTACTTTGAGCTGTTGGTAATAACGTCTTGATAATTCAAAAGGAGTGCAAATGGGTTGGTTTTTAAATGCAGTTTACGTGTTTTAACATCATCCGCCTGTTTCCAATGAGGCGTCTGGTGAATCGGTGGGATGATCTCATATATTGATAGTTTTGTGATTAGTTTGTTATGGTGCGAAAGGTCTTTATTTGGGTTTTTTCATGAACTTATCTCCATCGACAAATCTGATAAAGAGTATTCATAGGGCTTTCCGACCTGCCCTCAGCAGCAAACAAACTATAAAACTAACTGTCAACAGAGAGAAAGATGTCAACATGGTTGAAGGATGTAAAAAGAATAAACCATTATCAAGACTGTTAGGTTGACATAATGCTTTGCTAGTTTACAGCACCTTAGAGTGATAGTTGAGTACTACAGATAAAATGACTACACAGCACCAGCTAACGAGGTAGTCATAAGCTGAAAAAGATGAATTTGAGATACAACCAGTCGATTATTTGTGCAGTCGCTATGGTCAGAAATATAAATATGGTAAGCAGAAATAAAGACTATGAGATTACAATATTTATTAGTGAAAATAAAAGTTTATTTCTGAAAGATAAACTGTGTATGTGTTCGCTAGGTTGAAAGAAATTTTCAAGTATTTGTGCGTTTCCTCACTGATTGACTATATGTACTGACTTAAATTTGATTTCTGAATTTTCGAATTAATATATGTAATTGGGCCTACAAGCAATTCTTATTATTCTTATCCACCCTTATGCCCTGATCCCTTTCTACTGCCTGGAGTATGTTTTAATTCGTTCCTTGTAATCTCTTTCCTCTGAACTATATATACATCCAACCTTTGTTTGGATCACCTCAAACAAATTAACATATGATTCCATGCAGCGGCTATTTTAGCTGCTAGCACTCTGAGATTCAAATAATCAGTGATTTATTGTTAACTGTTTGCTATGTGGTGATCCTGAATTGTTTAGCATCCGTAACCAAATTCGAATTATGTGGTCTATACATTATTTTAATTGCACCTTCATTTTCCGCTGATTGAATTCATAGTTATCTGCTAACTTGATTCCTGTTGCTCTTTGTAAAGTGTATTGTTTTGTTATAAGGTAAATGGTCATTTTAAAATATATAGTGTGTAGCTATTATAGTTAGACCTGTCCACTTTGTATGCTTTCAAGGTTTATTATTTAAGAATAGCAGGATAATAATTGCTTTATCATTATAAGAATACATTTTAATATAATTCCAGCGTGTTTGGAAAATCAAAACCCATTGGGATTATATTAAAATATATTCTTATAATGATTCATTAAGGTTCGAGGTTCAACTTCTTTCAAAATATTCGTAACAATTATGGTCTGGATGTTTATAGTAATCGCTTTATTTCAAACAATATGCAATGTAGCTAAATATGTATTGAAATAAATTCAACAAAGCTATCATATGAATGAGATCGATTCGAATACCAAGTATGAGATGAAGGAAACTTGAATTACCATCAAAATAGTCCCCTCACATCACGAAACATTAATAAACAACAGTACTTTAGAGCAATTAGTTTCTCTTATAACTTTTAATGGAACAATAAGATGACTCAAGAAAGAAAATTTTTCTCTTCTACAAACCATTTTCAGAAAAAGTATAACAAAAGTTTATGTTTGCCAGTGCCTAATAAGTCAGTACAAGGTCACCAATAATTAAAACACCCCAACATCAGTTTAACCACGGGTTCCTACGCAAAATATTTCGTAACCACTGAAAACAGTTTTTAAAGAAAGTTGTCAGAGATTCTAGTTCAGTTATGTGGTTGGAAAAACTTGTTTAAAATGTTCTCAGGCTTTTTAAACAGATTAATGAGTGCAACATACACAGTTAAGAAGCATACCGAAACTTTCTGAAGAAAGAATATCAACAAGTCAGCGAAGCTTCATAAAGTTATTGAATAAATAACTATGCCGTGGTCTGTAGCAGCTTTACGTACCACTAGCTGCGATTTATTAGAAGTAAAAACCTTATTTTTCAACATCAATAACTATAGGCACATATCAAATGAATCATAGCAAGCCGAGCTAAAGTACGGAAGATGTTGATCAATCCACGTGTCAAAATGCAGTGAACTACTAATGAGGACTAATGATACGCATTGTAATGTCAAGAAATAGAAATCTACCAAAATTAGAAGTTTTAAACTCTAGTTATTCTACATTTCGGTGTCATTCTTGGTGATGGCAATAAGTTACGTAGAAATAAAAGAATCTCATTCAATACCATATTAATAAGACTACTATGCTGAGGCTAAAGAATTTGCATCTAACGAGGTATTTCTCAAAGGCGTTCAATACAACTCGTACACAAGCCTTCCTTACATGTTGGGAACTGTTCGGTAATCTCAGCTGACAGAATACACTAATCAAAATACCTACAAGCTGTGTGACAAGCACCTAATTTTTTTGCAATAAGCTCTCAGCTTTTGTTGAAATATAACGCTTTTCTTATTCAGGTCTACAAAAGAGAGGATCGTTTCGAACACACGATAGAAACTTGTGCCCGAATGTCGCTTAATTTTGTATAGTTGATTTAGCACACAAATGTAAGTGATGATAAAATCTATACTTGCTGAAAAACACCCAATTATTACAAATGTTTAGTTTCACTTCTTTTTTTCATTTCACAGAAATTTTGATCCAGATCGTTCAGGCACCATTACTCCAGCCAACTTTCGAATCATTTTATTCAATCATTACGGATTTGAATTTAGTGATGAAAGTTTTAAAGAATTTCTTGACTATCTACCACTTGACTCAAGTGGCAATGTACAATATGCTGAATTTATGCGCCAATTCGATTCAAGGTAACTTCTTCTAATACTGATATTACTGATGACCGTATAAGTAGTATAGTACCTGCAGACAGCTTCATAAGGTGCCTACCTGTTTTTCAAAAACCCTAAAACTCTGCTAGAAAATATCGTGAAAGTAAAAGATCAAAACTAACGGAACTGTTATAGTGGGCGAAAAGATCCACTTCAGAAACCTCAAGTCCCTGGAACCTTACACAACCATTTGTGTAACTTCGGATTTTCGAGGAAAAGCACCTAAACCAACATGTAAACACCAAACTGGTTGAAGAGGTCAAAGTCAATAAGACATGCTATTCCTAAAACCCATAGAAATAGTCAACATCATTGTAACTATATATATACCTGTGTATTTTGTACATACTCGACGTTAGAATATACTTTCTGTTATCCCTTCTCCAAAACTCACAAGGTTCATATACCAGACACAAAGAGAAGCCAATGTACAGCAATTAGAGTTTAAAAGGGTAATAAATACAAATCGTTGGAAATACTCCGTTTATGTAGATATCCCACATAGAAAGTTTGTAATTCTTTCGGTAAAACCATGCGAGCCTTATTTTTTGAATAACAAATCACGTAACGCATACATATTTTCGGAGCAGTGTGATAGCACTAATCAACTACAACAGAAATCTTGACAACTCAAAGTACTTTTAATCTTTGGCATTAGAAATTCCTATGTACCCAGTTGTAGATTCACAGGACTAAATTGACAACTTCATGCTGGCATGTAGGTTTCTTGACCACGTGTCCCCGTATTGCTTGTAATCAAATTTTGGTTGCATTTTATTACTGAATTACAGTGAAGACCACTAAGCATGTTTTCTTCGCCTTAAAAATAAATAATCAGTTAGATCTGCTTAAATCTGTGTTTGTGTTGCCATCAACACTTGATTCAAACAAGTATCACTTCAAAGGTCATAAACTGAGCATTTCAGTTTTGTTTATCAACAAAAAGATCGGTCTAAATCCCGAAAAGAAACTAATACTCACCAAGTACACCTATGGTCATAACTCAGTCTGGTAGGTAACACTGGCGTTTTAAGTGACGATTGCTAGGTTACAATCTCAGAGAAAACACCAACACGGAAGTGAGTGCATTTAGCCAAAAGGTTTCGGACAGGTGGTAAGTTGTGTCGTGGATTCCATTCGATGCCTAATACATGACTTACTTCTGATCTAACTGACTTGCTTCCTGGTAAGATTCTTTTAAAGTCACTGGCTCAATTTTTACTAACAATAAGAGTGATTCATAATCTATAATTCCAACTAATTAATTGCTAAAATACTTTTCAAATCTATACCCATTCAAAAGCTTTTTCTCTTCTTGTTTTGTGAAATGATTTTTTGAGAAAACTAAGCGTAACTTTAATTTGATGAAAACTAAGCACGTATGCCTTAGCAATCCAAACTGTATGGGTTAGCTATGAAATTTATTGTTACGACATACAGTCCACCAGCCTAAATCATCATTCTGTAAATCCAGGTAGCAGACTTTTGGCAATCCTATTTGCATTTATAAACAGTTAACAAATCAGTTTTGCCGTTCTGTTAGAAGTGCTTCATAACAGTAGTCAAAGGTTATTGTACCGAATCCTGCTGAAAATGCTGTTTTCTGCTTACCCCTTTTATAACCAGAGTTTATGCCTTTCGGTAAAAACTGAAGATTGTTTGGTTTGTATTCACGGTTATAGATGATGTGGTGAGAGAAAAAAGTTCCCAAAATTTGTGTACTATTTTATACATCATTTTTCATTCTATTACAATCTCTTCCAGAGGTGTAAAATATGAACCGCTATTAGTGGAGAAATCCAGAGAAGACCACCAGGTAATTTTTTATGTTATCGAGGAATGCAATAACAAAATACATACTTATTTATTCTACTGCTACAAATAATTAGTCTGACGCTTTCTGTAAGATACATTAATCATAAAAAGCTTCAAAAATTTCACACTGTCTGCACTCAGGAAAAAAGAAATCAAAATGCGGTTCATTGAGTGCATCCGCCACAGTTTTCAAGGATTCTGACAGTAACTCTCGAATCTTTAAAGTCATCAAATTCATATGAGTTGGCTATCTTCAGGCATTGCATGTTGCTAACTCCTAACAAGAACTAGTCATTCCTGCTTCCTGTTAACTACAGCAGGTTGGTAGTTCAGTTATCGGACTTACATCCGCTGAATACAGCTCGGGACATCTACCGAATGTGAGTAGACATACAACGAGTATAGATCAGAGTACGCAGTGTCAATATGTCGGTTTGTTTATTTATGTAATTATTACTTAAGAGGTGATGGTCATTTCTATACATCAAATTTTTATAAGAAATGGTAAAACGCATAAATTTGAACAGTTACCTTATTTATAAATGAGTGTTATGTAGCAATCAGTTATCCTCTAAATTAACTGATGGGATGTTGATAAATTATTTAATGCCTAAGTAACTACTTAATAGCAAATATTTCGAGAAATCTTCTGTTCTTTAAAGTAAAACATTTTAATCAGCAAAATAATTAGATGCCAGTGTAATTCTGATTCCAGTAACCGTTTAGATAAACAGCTCATTTTCCTCTTCGTACCGGTTTCCAACAAGTGACAGACAATACTTCCTAAAGGTCACCCATCAAAAGAAAAGTGACAATATGCCTTTATCTCTTAGCATTTACTATGAATTGTATTCATATTAGCGTAGAATAAATTAACAGGCGAAAAATAAGGTATAACCAACTAGCAAGCGATAAATCTAAATCCAGAAAGAAATCGAGATTATAAGCAACAGAATTCAAAACATTCACCTATTTAACTGAGAAATAACAATTACTATATACATGTAAAAAGATTCCTCATTAGTGGTTTTATAATCACATATGGTACGCTGTGTAGTTCTTTTCATTCATCAAGTATTACCAAATCACTAAAGTATCTATGTTGTGCTTTTTAGGCGGGAAACTGCAAGTTAGAATCAAGTGTCATGCTAGAAAACAAAAAGGATGCACAATCCACTGATCAAATAAAATCTGAGTCGATTGACCAATCTCAAACAACAATTAATGTTAAAACTCACCACCGTACAATGAAAGATTTGAAAAAAATTATTCATGAAACACTCAAGTCAAAAGTTCATGAAATTGAGAGTCGATTTTATGAATTGGATGAATATAATACAGGTCGACTGACACAAGAACAACTATATCAACTACTAAGAATGTATGTCATTCTTCTATTTTACTTAAAAAATATTGTTGTTCGCTTAAATTTAGGAAATTCTGATTTCACGTTCCATACATTTAGCAATCATTAGTAAGGTAAATCGCCAACCATTTGAAAACTCTTCTACCTAGGTAATTTGAATCCACATGGTTCAGTGCTGAAATGCACGAAGATTTGTTTGAATTTTTGGGAATAATCGTTAACTTCTTGGAGAAGGTCATGTACATGTTTTCACTAACAGAGAATAACGTAGATTATCTTTTAATCTGCACACGAAGCCTATGAGTATTAGTTTGGGAACAAGAATACGTTGACAGTCTCACTGGAACATCATTAAAGTAACGGTGATATAACACCACAACCTAGTAGATAATTATGTCCTAGGTTATAAATCACAGTTAACATCTGAGAGTTTAGAGTACTGACCAGCTGCTTAGGCTGAGTTAAATGGTAAGGAACCTGAACCAGGAGACACCTGCTGGAAATCCGAATCCTTTAAATTACTTCTTACTGACAACTACAAACAAGTCCAGAAACATTTTTTTGTTAAATATACACAGACTTATGAATGGCAGACCACATCTAAAATATTATCATTCACTTTGACACTAGGAAAGAAACTTTTCTGAGTATATATTAGTGCTAGAAGGACATTGAAATAGTAGATAATCTTATCTCGACCTTAAACTTCTTATTGTTTAAAACGGTGATATTCCTAAAACACGCAAGAGAAATACTTGACCATATTCAACAATTCCCTTAATCCTAGTAAATACTAGTCAGTAGAAGACAAAAAGCGTGTCGAATGTAATTATCAATGAAGTTAGTCAAGTAAAAAAATGTAGCTGGGAACTATGGTCTAATGATAAACAAGGCATTTGAAGGTTGATATTACAGATCGGTTTCATGACGTTGACCACATACAAGTTGTGTAATCTGTGAAAGTTTCTAGAAAAATTTGACACACTTCGAAAAGAAAATCATTCATCCATCACAAAGCCAATATTATTAAAAACTACGGACTTTTCTTACTCCAGTCATCGAATTTGTTAAAATAACTTTTAGGATTTGTCCTGGTGCGAACTTGACAGACGCAAAGACCAATCACTAATTATTCGAACTTGTTATATACCCACGAATACGAGACCAAAGAAGAACACGATAGCGTAGTCGGATAGAATAGTATATTTGGATGGTTATGCCAAAACACCGATGCGTTCCAACTAACTGGCTAGAGAGTCGAATACGAGCAATGCAACGTAACACGACAGCGTGCCAAATGGCGAGGATGCTTGACCGGGTGCCTTCAGCTTAGCGAGTCCAGTTAAACACTATCAAGGTCAGCATCAATGTCGAAAGTCGTCAAACCCTAGGCTATTGATTTTGGGGAAGTGTGTGACGCTACAAACTTATTCACAACAATGTCTGAGATATATTGGATCAGACGACATAGTGAACATTCATCTAAGGAGAAAGAACCAAAAATCAGACAAATGGATTGACGGAACACCTCACACTATCTGTAAGGTCATTCACCAATGTAGAATTATCAAAAATTGATTTATCAGTTACAGGCCAAGATAATGCATCTCTTTTTTTCATTCGTAAGATAAACTATCACTTAAATGAATTATCATCAACTCACTATTAATCACAATCACCTCTGTTTACTTTTTACTGCTAAGTTTATGATAGCCATTCTAAGCAATTTTACTCTCATAGATAATACTCCTGTAAAATAAATCAAATTTACTTTTGGTAATTTGCATCAAAAATTGACATTCGTAGTGACTCTAGAGCATTGTCAATAGATGATTATGCCTAAGAAGTATCATAACCTAAGATACCAACTGGTATCATTCAATTAAATAACACTGACATAAACACATGTTTTCAATCACGATTGGCTTAAAAATAAGCTGTAATCAAGAAAATTTTCATGCTGTCTTTTAAGTTGATCTTATAAACCGAGTTACAAAGTGTAAAAAAATTCTGTCTTTCGAGCTCAAAAACTAACTTATCAGTAATGAATTCAAAATGTAGTCAGTTCACTTTCCAAAGAAATTATGAGTGTAAGTTAGTGAATTGACAGTCTTAGTTGATAAGTAGTCACTTAGCATAGACGATTTTCAACTAGTATCAACTATTCAAAAGTCTCTTTTAGTAGCTTTATTGCTAAATAAAACTTTGATGATAATTGAAATCCGCTGGCGAATCTTTTTCCACATGATCCCCACCTAAACCGGATGAGGAGGATAGCAAACACCAAATTTAGAAAGTGACCTTTAATACATATGTAGCTGTACACTAGCGCTGGGGATTACAAAAGTATTACGAGAGATGGTAATAGTATATTTATTACCTAGTAGAAATCAAAATTCATTCAGTAACCACATTCACATTCGTGTAACAGGCAACAAGCACATACACTGAGTAAAGGTTACTGATACGGCTTAGCTTCCAATGCCCCAGTTAGCGGAGTGGGGTTCGAACTTGTGACGTACTGATTGATAGTTAAGCGCTTGGACCGGTGAGCTACAGCTCTGCTTTTTGGCAACTAAATGAATAATGCTTAAATACTCAACAGATACAACCCCGTAGAAGCAGAAAGCAAAAACTATACTCTGTAAACTAACTTCCTAATCAATTAATAAACTCATTCATCTTAGAAAGCATTCCTTACCCGTATTCATAAATCCTCTAATTTAGTCTGTTTATAACAATGAATAACTAGCATAAAATCACAAGTAATTTCCAGTGAACCTTTATTGTTTTCTCTTAGTTCACATTTTTACTCATAAATTCTTCACTCTATATTCAGTGCCAACATTGAACCAGAAATAACGCGTGGTGAAATAAGAAAATTATGGCCAGAATTTTTTGTTGATCGAAAGCAATGTTTATCGTTTCATGAATTTCTACGACACTTTTTGTATCGCAAATCAGATGCTTCCTATCCAAATGCTAAACTGGTCCCACCACGTTTGGGTGATGCTGATCTAATGCCATGTTCAAATAAGCTGAATGGTGTAACTTGTTTGATTAAGGATTCACTACGTGCTAAGGTAACTGCTTACCATGAAAAAGAAACATTTTGATGAGTCAAAAATTGCAGCAGAAGATGCGGTGAATTTGAACCTTTGAGTGTATTATTTTGAGTAGCTTTAAAATTAGTCTAAAGTTCATTTCACCATCGTCAGAAAACCAAACAAAATGCTCTATAGATTCTATTTCCTTTGATAACCTTGAAAACTGTCTAAAAACAAACTTATGAAGAAAAGCGTCTATTGCTGAACTAAGTATAAAATAAATTCCATACCATTTAAGACGAATACCTACTCAAAACTAACAGGATTTTAGAATGAACTAAAGAAACGAACGAGACGCACTTAGCAACCTTGTGCACATTCATACAGTAGGTAATGAGACACGCCCGTGTGGTATTACCTGGCTGCTCGAACCTCGGTAGGTGTAACGACGTTCAACCCTGCGACCCGGTGGTTGAAAGTCATCTACTCAAACCAATGATCCACAGCTCCACTTCTTTAGAAATACAAGAAACCTATAATACATGATTCACTGGAAATCTATTCTATCATTTTTTGCACACTATATCTTATTGCACAACATATATATGTATATCATAAAAGACTACTCTTTCAAATGAATTCTGCCTCAGATTCTACAGTCATATATCCTAAATAATTAAATATAGAAACAGAGGCACGTTAACAATAACAGAAACATTCTGTTTATCAGTAAATGATTAAATCAGCGAGTTGTAACGATGAGGTGAACAATAAAGTTAAAATCGTGTTTAAAACAAATTAACTAGTTGACTTTTTCACTGACATTAGCTAGTAACCTCCAAACCAGATTATATTTTGTATATTGTCCTCAAAACTTGATGTTTTGCTAGCTTGCAGTGTCAAATTTATAACATATGATTCTGACTATTGCACTTTCCTAATTCAAATAAAATGAATTCTGGTTCACTGACTTTAGTATTTAAACTCCTAGAATTAGGTTACAGGTTCAAGTTTTGGAGCTTCTAGTTCAGTTTTGAGTAACAATTTAGTACCACAAAGCCTTTACATATTAGATGCGGATCACAGTTCAACATAATAACTTGTACGCAATAAGCCAACCAAAATTTAGCACCCATGGGAATGAAAAAAAAATGAACACAAAACTCACTTTAAACAAGATTGCTTAATTCATCAACCTGTGGTCTTGTTCTTAAGTCATTTGAAGAACATTATTTATGCTTCGAATGGGGAGCCACAGCCTTTTTGTGGTCAATCGAACATTAGAAAATGACACCTACGTGTAAGCCAGTAAAGGATAGTCTATACTCTTTCTGAGTTTGGTTTATATTACAATTTTCTACTTTCTATCACTCGAAATGACAAACTTTGATTCACTCACTTTTGTCTTACATTATCTTTCTGATTCTCTTTTCTTACTAGATAGATTTTATGTTTGACCTTCTATATAAAGAATTCGTTGAAATGGATCCTGAAGGAACTGGATTTATAACGCATAGCCAGTTAGCTCAAGTGCTAATAGAATTATGTTTACAGGTATCTGATAGAGAATTAGATGATTTGATTGAAAAATTCGATATACACAAAACGGAACGTGAGTCGCTTTGGTTGCACGAATTTACACATGGTTTCTGTTTACATTTCTATGCTTTATATTATCTGTTTCATTTAGGCTGTCTTTTGATAAGTAAAATGTGGAGGACATATGAAATTAAGAGAGAAGCTTACATAGTATTTATTTTTGCATCAGTGATCTACGGAGCAATGAGATCCAACTTCTAACCCAAACACCAACTTCATTCCCGAATTCGGTGTGGTAATTAACTATAATATCATATTAGCTAGAGAAGTATTGAAAATTTAGGAGTACTAGAAAGTTGCTCTGTTTTGGTTCATAAGCAGCAAGTGACAATGACCATGTGTGAAATCGGCTGCAGATAAGTTAGTCCTTACAACAACCAACTTAACATTCAGCGAATAGATTAGGGCCCAACGGTTACCACTTACGGATTTAGGTCTAGCCAGAGATAAACAGGAAAATCCACTAAGAAAACTGGAATATAACCGTGTTATATCAAAATTTCAAATAAGTTTGAAAACGTTGATTACTGAACCTCTACTCACTGACACATTTGTAAAGTACCAGCTATGAGATATGTAGATTTCGGTCTCATTCCTCTTCAGTTTTGGAAGTACACCACTGAGTTTTCTTGAACAAGACGACAAAAATATTTAGTACTCCTAGAGTTTAAAACATTCATCGGCTGTTTCACTTTGTGATAAAAACGATCATCAAACTAATCAGTTCCACCTACTCACTATTCAATCGAATAGCAATTACCGTTACCCATACATAGGAAACACATCAGCAAATACATGGTGTACAACCTAGTGACATTTGTAACTTATATTGCCGGTCATCAATAAAGCAGGCACAACTTTAATTACTAAAGCATTGCAATGAGGAAGTAACAGATAAACATTGTTGATACTGACAACTCTCAGTTCAATAGGTGTTTCTTGGTATGATAGTGAATTATAAACAGACCTAAAGTTGCTGCTAGTTAGAATATAAAGGGAATTAAATTGTATTTTCCACTACTTCTTAAAGTGTACCTTTCATCAGTCAGCATTCAAACGAGAGCATATGGACTTTAGCTCGTGAGCAGAAAGGAAAATGAAGTGGTCGTTGTAAGCAGATCCCTAGCAGTCAGTAACGTTCACCTTAGAATACAAAAGATAGCAATAGTGCTGTTGAAAAATTAAATCCATTGACTCTAAAACAAAATAAGATGATTTCACAGACTGAATATAGTGTGACTACAGCGGTTCTCAGTTCACCAACTCTTCATCCAAACACTGATGGTTCGAGAACAAAATTTTCGATTACTACTCCCCGTCTACTGAATAACTACAAAAGATTTTAAGAAAACAGGAAATCTGAGCCCTTAACAAGACAACTAAACCCCCTCAGGAATCCTTTAGTTCACTTAAAAAATAAAATTCCTTTTACCTCCACATAGAACTGTGTCTACACATTTGGCTATGTCGATTGTGACGCTTATATTGTGGAATCATCCAGTGAGATCCTCATTCGCGCTAAAGAACATGTGAATGACACAAAACGACCGCCAAATAATTCTGTAGAACAACAGAATTTAAAAATCAAGTTAGCAATCGCTGTTCATACCACTTGTCACAAAATTGATATTGAAAGTATAAAAATGATTCACAAAGGCTTTTCAAACTATAAGGAAAGACAAACAGCTGAGGCATTTCATATTATAGACGTTAGTTGATTGGAGGCGATTGGCAAGACTTCCTGCCGATGATGAGCCTTCTAGCTTGGTGGTCATGTTCCAAATATGATCGACAGAATTCGGTCTGGACTCAGGACAAGACACCATGATACTGGTTGCTCTCCTGTGACCAAGCAATTCATTTCACATTATATTAAATCATACTGTATTCAACAGAAAGGAAGGTCTAACTATCCAACGAACTTGAACAGTATATCTAAAAACAACACGTCACACACAATAATCAAAGAAACTTTACATACACACAAACACACCAAATTTGTCTTCCATAGTATTTTTTTCACACATTCACACCCAATCATATCCGCACATACATTCACAACTTCACCTTGAACTCATGGAATAGTAACCGACAATGATAACATTTATCCCCATATTATTATCATGTATGAACAAAGTGATCCGATTTGTCGCCACTTACCAATTAAACATACGATAACTTCTACAGGTTTCATTCTCTGAAGAAGCGAGTTCCACGAAGTCTTGAAACGTCAGAAATTTATTTTTCTACCTTCTTGAGATTTTAAAAATAAAAGACTTCATTTATAATCCACTTATCCAAACCTCAACTGTATCAAGTTAAAATTTTGATCCTGAAGTCTATATAAAACACCCTTCCAAGCACAAGTAATATATTTGAGACAAAAAATGCTTCAACCGAAGAACTTTCTCTTCCTACAAACCATACACTTTTTTAGCACCAACTCTTCATATAAAATTCTAAAAACTATATGATATCATCAATCCGTAATCATAGCTGCCATCAATTAAAGAATACAAATTTTAACTCATAACTAGTATCATTTTGACTATCTGAGGTATCCGTGGTTTGGCAGACTAGTGGTATTGAGTGATGATTGTAGGTAAGATGAAAATTTGGACCACGGTGAGACTCGAACCAACGACCACCGCGTTTCCGGCCGATGCTCCACCAACTAAGCCACGAGGTCGAACTGCTGGTCAGGTTTTTATTTCACTTCAATCATCACCCACTATCATTATAAGTAGAAGACTAGACATGATATTATTCCCAGTTACATAGAGTGGACGAAACTAATCAAAAAAAATTTAAAGATTTGTTATTTAAGCATCATTTTTATCTTTTTTATTCAGGATATCTTATCTTGCTCTGTTACAACCTTTCATAAGGAATCGTTTACTCAAGTCAAATAAACTTGATAGAAAGTCAATAAGTTTATTGGCGAATCAAATACTAGGAACAGCAAAAACTAACCAAATCACATCATCTTTACTTCCTATTTTGAATGAAGTCAAACCGAAAGTACCGGTAAGCGAAGCTCAATTTCATTTGATATTACGTGAGCTTAGAAATTCTTGTTTTGTTTCAAATGCAAATGAACCTCAGCAACAACACAGACTTATTTACTTAGTAATAAATGAAACCTCTTGTATGAGAGTTACTGCTATTACATAGATGCTCACGTCTCGTTAAATGAAATCGTGGCTCAAACCAGTGACCCTCTAGATGGATATCAGGTTTCTAGAGTAATAAACCCCTGCTCCATAGGCGATGACAAAATGAGAGAAGAATGTTTGAACTGAAAGGACAAGAAAAATCCCAGGACATAAGAGATAAAAGTAAAATCAGGTGTGAAAAAACAACCACTAGAATCAACCTACCGTATTTCGAAAGTTATTAAGTCAAATTTTAGACGGCTGTCTTTAATGAACATGTTAATAAATGGGGTGAGGGTCTTATGTCATGTATAACGGTATTATATCTTAATAAACACATAAAAGTGCTTTCATGATGCTGCAAGTTAAATGTTATATGAGTGAGAAAGACCACGATATCGAGCTAGAAGAGATCTGCAATATTATGTCGATAGGAACATCACCTGTGAACACTGTCCACACAATAAAGGATTCAGTAATGCTTAAATTTCAGAAGGAAGCTTTGTGTAAGTTCAATTCCTGAAATAGATTTTTCACATTATATTTAAGAATCCACCCGGACCAGGTTCAAAGAAGAAAACAAACTTCATTGATTAATCCAATAACTGTCTGTGAAACATATTTTGAACTGTCCTATTACGAAAGACTAATTACTGTTATGACTATCAGACCGCTGATGAGTATATCTTAACTAGTCGAATAAGTATGAGGAGGACTGAACAGTTTGATGATGAAATCTGTTAGCACCATATCGAGTGATGTAATTTTGACTCTGTTAGTCTTAAAACGTACTAAAGAAAAGACTCTCATACCAGAATAAAATAATCTATTACAGTCTAAATGTCACGAGGAATCATAAAATATAACTCCAGGTCTCTCACAGTACTTCTTGGAATTCGATAATTATTCCACTGACGTCAAATTGTGACTGAAAATACACAACTATCAAATATACCAGAAAACTGCAAAACTATTCATCAGAAAAACTGCTGCTAGTGTACTGATGATTGTATAGTGCCATATATTTCTTTTTCGTCTTTTTTTCACTTATCTGTGTATTCCACCAGCAGTGACTTGGTCATCAGTTGGAAACCTGTTTTTCGATCTGATAAACCGGAGAGTATGATCAGCCTAAAATCCAACACGACTCATAGTAAATTATATAAATTTGAAACCGGGTTCTCCATCCTTTTATGAGTGATACAAGTGATAGCACAGCTTTTTCCACATAGAGAGAGAGTAAATTACTTTTATCTTACTAATTTTCATCATTTAGATATCCCGTCTCGGTTGGAGTAAAATACGTCGGTCAATGCAACAGGCTGATAAAACACGTTGTGGTCGTTTAGAAGCACCAGTGTTTAGGGATCTTTATCAAAATGGTACAGGAATTCGTCTAACGGATGAACAAGTTTATCAACTTCTAACAAGACTTGATCCTGACGTATCTGGTACGCTACCTTATGTACGTTTACTTGAAGATACACAAGCTATATGCAATTATGAAGATGAGGTGAGTAGGACGAAAATGTCAAAAGGTGAAAATACAGAGGAGCAATGTGATAAGACAACGAATAATGAAGAGCATACTCAGGAAAGTTAGATCAATACATTTTATCATTCTCTGTTATCTCGTCAACTACGGTACTATTTCGTCATAGACTGATTTAGTGAATAGAAAACCATTCTGTACCTATGAATATGGCTTGAAAAGGAAAAATCTTTTTGAGAAGAGTATCCAGTCAGCTAACGTTTAGCATAGAGGTTTGAATGAAACTCTATTCATTATCAGCAATGACAGCTTTCAGTTGATAATATATTTCTTTAACTTGATTGGTTGATGCCAATATTTTTTAATTAGTTGATTCAGTATGTTAAATCCCACTAAGTGTATATGGAAATGATATACTTCGAAGATGAATTTCATAATAACTCAAGAGATAGGCGGAAGTGTAATCATAAATATAGATGGTCATACACTGATCATATACTGAATTGTAAAAATGCACCCTTTAACATCGACTCAGTGTTTAGATAGGAACAGACTGTTTCAGTCTTCAACAATTTATGCTCAAATTCGAAGAGCTGCTTAAACTCCTGCCGGAATCTCACGAAGCCTTAAGCATTACCTTACAATCGCTCCCGAGTCCGAATCCCAGTGGGAACAACCTCACTCACTGGAAGTCAAGTACATCCAGCTGACAAGTCCTAAAGAGAAGGAAATACGTATCCTGGATTCCACCGCTGGCCATGATCATCATTAATATAATTAGAACATAGGTATCGGGGCATCCGCACAGGAGCCCATATGTCAATAGAGACCGATCAATTCGGTCCAATCAACGACGGTATGATATAAAAACAATTATACTAAAACTATATCCGTCGCACAAAAAGTAGCTATCGTGGCTCGATGGTGTGGTGGATAACGTTCTGGCGTTTGAAGCGATAGGTCCTGAGTCACCACTCACTAGGAAGCAGGAACACCCAGCTGACGAGTCCCAAATAGGACGAAATGTGCATCCAGGATTCCACTGGTAACCACGATCCATCATTAATTATCTTATATCCTAGTATTATAACTAGCAAACTGTTAAGTTTCCGGCACCAGAAACAATCAAAGGTGCTGCAGAAAGAAGTTCATATGTCTTCAATTTAATACGTGGTTTCTAATCTTTTTCTTTCAGTTTTTACCTTACCTTATTTGATCAATTGAATAACGTAACCAATGAAACAGTATATACCATATAGGTTTAAATCAACCAGATAAAGAACTATTTTTTCATCAGTAATATATATCGCTTTCTTATATAGCTCTCTTTACTTTCCACACTCTAAATATGCTAAAAATAGCAAATGAAAATATCACTTAATCACACTTCCTGACCCAGATTTGAAAGTTCTGTCTTTCCATGCTGCCTCATTTTACGACCAGTAAAAATATCACACGCCTGGGATGTGTTGAATCACTTTTATTGCATGTGTGAGGCAAGAACGAAGCTTCGATATACTTGATTATAATCAACAGATTGCTTTCTGAATGTCATCCAGTAAATCATACTGCTGTAAGCCATGTCATATCAAATAATTTAATATAGAATTACCAACTACCACGGTACAAAGTTTTTATGCTTCATTTCAAAGCATCCTACAATATATCCTACCAATGAACTCGAATAAAGTGCGGACAGTAGCTTTAGCGGAATAGCCTGGATCCATTATATTTCGGGCTTTCCCATCGATTGCCAACAACCCAAAACCATTCAACTGTTGAAATAAACTGAGGAAAAGTTCACATACTTAAATCGATTCAATAAAAAATTACAAACTACAAAGAAAGGTAACACTGATGTTAAACAGATGAAGTCCCAAAATATTAGCATTACAAGAATCGATTACACGTATATGCCGGGAGGGACGTAGATATTAAGATGAAGAGCGTGAAATGGAACATAGAGTCAAAACCAACTCAGCAACCATGTACACATTCCCGTAGTAGGCGAAGTCATATCTACTGTGTGAAGGCCAATGATAATACCTGGTTGACAAAACTTCAGTAGGTGAGACGGCGTTCGAATCTGAAAGTCAACCCCCTGAACCAATCAGTCACAACTCCACGGAACGCATTGTATAGGTGTGTCAATTGATATGACATGACATTATCAATACTAAAAACTATTTCTTTCAGGAGACTTTTCGAACGATTTCTGGATCGTAACTTGATATTAAACGTCAATCGGATGACTAGCAATTGTATAGTTGAAGATAACCACTCATCTAAGTTCTAAAGCTCGTGGAGCATTTTCAGATACGCAGTGATAAAATCTCCTTACTGTTCATTGAATGCGCTCTGGCATGCCTTCTGAGAAGCATACAGATGTAGCTCTGATGGGCCGAAAATTTATACAGGCAAATCGTCGAGTGATCTCTTACACAACAGAAAATTCTCAGCACTTGATAACGAAAGAAATCAAATATAACTTGTTTAAAAGCAACTTACTGAAGTTTTAAGAGGACAGAAGAATTATCAGATAAATAGTGAATACCTTGACAGAGGAAAGAGACCAATAGGCCTATAAAAAATACCACTTTATGGATTGCAGAAGATTCATTAAGACGACCTCCTCTTTCTCCTGACTCTGGGTAGATCTTGACACTTAACATCCAATGACGAAATGAAATTGATTTTCTGGAACCTACTAGAAACATCTTTATCTGCTGCCTCCATGATACCTCCCGACCCACGGACTGAATAAAGGACATGAATACTTCTCACAAACCAATATCTCTTGATGTGTAAAAACTTTTCAGCGATGTTTGATTTTTTATGATAATATGTGAACATTGGAATACCGACTGTGGACTTGAAATAACCACCACTGAGATCCATCTTCAATATACAATCTCCATTCAATGATACAATTTACAGATAAAAAGATAGGATCCCTTTGGACTCATTACTGGCAGAGTGCTTTAGAGAAAGTTTAAAACCAGTAAACTAAATCCAAAAATATATTATTACCAACTGTATAAAAGGTAGGTTGATGATACTTCTACCGTATACGAGTTGCACTAGGTACTGAGTGTATTTAATAAATAAAATCAGGCGGTAAAATTTACTTTTGAAGTAGAACTTAAATTCCCTTTCTTGACATAGAATTAACAAGAATGATGAAACATTGATGAAGTTACTTTCGGAAAGCCTACTTGGAGCGGTTGGTTGATAAACTTATTTCTACATTTGAGTGCCTATTATTTGCGAAAGTTGATTGTCTCACTTGAGGCGCACATGCAACCTATTTGTAGTCTTGATGCCTTAGAAGACTAAATGAACCTTCTATGAAAAATCTTGATTGAAAATGAATATCCACCTGGGAAAATATATCAGGTCCAACCCTCAGAGAGATCATCTCACCCCCATTCCGAAGACACTGTACATGAACCTTGAATTCAAAGGTTATCCAGCTGCTGACAGTCAAAAGAGGACCTCAAACTCGCTATGAGGAACGTTCTTAGCAGCTATGTCAAGAGAAGTCTTTACAAGTTGCCCGCTATTTTTTAATAACATGAAGGATAAGATCTTGCCTTTAACCCTTCCTACATATGCATAACAGCTGACCTGCTCCTGCGGAACTAGGTATATCGGTTATTAGACTCGACACTTGTCCGAAAAGATTCTAGAACAGTTATACATACTTGCGAAAAGTAGCAGTGGTTCAATAAGTGCAATAATTGCTGAAATCAGCCTCCCTGCTCAATTTCTCTTCCTTTCCCTATATACCTCGAAAAGGATTTCTGAAACACTGAATCCTATACATCTAATTTCCTTAGCTAGTGGAAATTCGCTGATTCTTTTATATTTTCACGTGGCACTTTTCTTAGTATCTAGAAGATACCTGTCTCCTTTCTTTGTCCAACTTCTTTTCTTTTCTTAAAATATGCGTTGAATATATATATATATATATATATATATATATATATATATATATATATATATATATATATATATATAACGTTCATTTCTTGGGACTTCAATTACCAAACGTCAGTGCAATTTTCTATTAAATTGATTTAAATATGTGAATCTTGCCTTTACTTAAGTCGTATGATGGTTTTAGGTCATAGGCAGCTGATGAAAAACGCTGAAACAGGATGGATTCATGATGTAGCAGACAAAATAAACACTGTGTGCGCAAGCTTACGGGGTTTCAGCTGTTTTCAAGAAACTTGTCAATGATAAAGAATAACGTCTTGTTCTTATCTACTTGTAACTGACCTCATTTGAAATGTTGTGTCGTAATCTTGTTTTTATAATAGTCTGGCAAGTGTAGCTTTACAGAAAACAAGCAATTAGACCGTTGAAACCATAGTGCAAAATAAACCAAAAGTAGAGAAAAGGTGGAAGTATTCATTAATATCTTTGTGTTAGAAGAATAGTTCTCAAATGTAAGTTCACAAAGGCCTCATCAAAATTACACAGAATCTATAAAAATAATGACAATGGAAAGCTTTATTAGAAATCAGTTATTTTTTATACACCATGCTCTGATAAATAAGATTTCACTTTTACCAAAGCCTTATACCGATGTGATATAGAGTTTTTTATAGATTTGTCTAGTTCAGCATAAGTTTCTGAATAACCATCTGGTTGAAATATACAATCCCATCCAAAATCAGATGGTCCACGGGGTGAAACAATACAACCTGATGTAATACCAGTGAATAGTTGCACTGGCTTTTCAGGGCTATCACAATAAGCGAAAGTGCATATAGCCTCAGCACGATAATCATTAAAGTCAGTCAACATACGATAAAGTCCTGGAACAAATTATAAACCAAACATCAAAATTAAAGAAGTAGATAACATGGTGAGCAGAGTGCATACCTATAACAACAGTTAACATGAATTAAAATAATCTAAATTCCTGGCATTCCTTTCGAATGACAGACAATTTCATTTGCTGCATTATGGTAAATATTGACTATCATAAAGTTCAGCTATACAAAACTACATAGTAACTTCCTTACTATTTAAAAAACAATATTATATGTGCAAACATCCGAATTGGTTAGACATTTTCTCAGAAATTTAAACGAATTCTATAAGTACATTTACACGTTCATCCCTCGAAAGTTAATTAAAAAAGCTTCAACTGAAAAGTAAACATCTATAATTTTACCATACATGAATGAATGTTAAGTAGCTTAAGCAAATCTCTACATGACAAAAGGAATTATCAACCAAAAGCATCACAATAATAACTATAACAATCAGGAAACTAGTTAAACTTTGCGGTAAACAAATGATCTCAAAACATGTTGAAATGCCAATAAAATAAGCAGTGCAATAAACTACACAGCAACTTTTGAGTAATGAATTTAGTACGTTTATAAACGACTACTTCAATCAGTGAATATCACGTTTTACAAGTCTGCACCAACTCAATCTAGGCAGTCAACTTTCAAACGATGGGCTGTGGTTTTATTTAGAACTAGGCCACTTCGTAGTATAAGTCCTTACGGAAGGAGTGCAGTCTATAGCCTAGCATATAAACATAAAGAACTGAGGTGCATTGATTTCAAACTTTTAAACCATTTGTGAATGCTACAGTAAACATAATACTTTCTAGCAGAAATTATCTACCACAGTTTACTGCAAAATGTGAATTAACATAAAATGTTATCGGGATACACTTGTACAAATAACAATCCAATATTATTCACTGACAAGTTCAAAATGGTATTGATCATCTTTGCTGATAAACATGAATCTGACGATGAATAGTGAGTAGTAGAGGAATCCAGGATGCATGTGTTGTCCTACCTGAGACTTCCCAGTTTGGTATCGTTTATGTATCCCAAATTCCTGCTGGCTGAGTCCCAATAGTAGTGGTATCCCCAGCCCCTCTACTGAAATATGCGGCTTGAAATTTCAATAAGAAATGAATGATTTCCCCAAAGATAGCATATTTCTTAATGATGAAGCATAGATTAAGGTGAAGGTTCTATATAATAACATGAATACCAAAAAGAACGACAAGAACTTTTAAAAAACTGAGTGATAATAATGTTGGTGATATGGTATATCAAATCGGTAAATATTTATGTACTGAAATGCCCAGTTTCCTCGGCCAAGTACGTGAGACACAATTAGAACTCTAGACTCCTTGATTGGAAGTCAAGTCTTTAATGGACCTTCATAGTTCCTAAAATGGAGGTTTGAACAGTTATATATGTCAAAGATTTACGAAGAAAAAGGGCGATTCTAATCGAAAACGTTACAAACTGATTGTGTGCCGGAGCTTTGATTGAAAGCCTCGGTTTTATTTTTACTTAGCCTGCTCACGTTATAAAACCTAGGGGTTACTTTAAAGAACTTATTAACTTATCAACGTGTGTTAACTTGACTACAAAACAAAACAAAACAGTTACCATCAGGACCTATAGCCTTTATAAACCATTTGACAAACGGGCCGGGCATCCCATTGAATGCCTTAAAACATAGAGCTGTATCTTCTGTTAACACAGGTCCACCGATAAGACTACATGCATGTAAGCACTTTTGTTTGCTCACTTCTTCGATGCTCCCTTGAACTTCGGGTAAATCCAGAGCAGCAGTTTTTATCTATAAAAATTTACAATATATGTTAGAAAATGCTGCCTACTTTATCAGTATATTCCTCGCCAATAATTTTAAGGAATTCTGACAGTTTATTTGGGTTGCCGGTAACGAAAGTTAATTGACGAGCCATAAGGTCTGGAAGATAAAGTCAAACCCAAATTACTACAAGGATATATGACGATACATTCAAATCATATTCGTTTGTAGATACGCTGCGTAGAAAAAAGGAACCACACTTTCTTTTAAACTACGTTATAACTAAATTTATTTCATGTGAAAGCATCAACAGAATGTATGAAAATCACGCAGCATACAATGTTGCAAACTTAACATATACTCATAAAAATAGAAGTACTTTCAACCGTCCACCGTAACTTGCTAAAGTGAGTGAAGCTGACACACTAAACTATCCATATTTGAACTGAAAACTTGCACATTCCGTGATGCTTTGATCCGTACCATCTGATACCGATCAGAAGAAATAGTACTTCATAGTTAATTCAGGCGTTCAAATTAGTTTGTGCAGCCTGGGTAGCTAAGCGATGTAGCGTATCATAAAACAGCAGACACAAGTGACAATTCAAAAAGGTATGCATGCAGATGGTAAGCAATATTTACATTTCTAACTTAAGATAGCGTTCCTACCTTAGGCTTACGGAATATACCATCAAAATTTACGTCTAACCAGTGATAACTAACGGTCTGAAATTTATACACCTGAACTATTATGCATCCTCAAACTGTCTAATATTGTTTAATACTGCACATGTGCAACAGGACTAAAATTAAACCAATCTAACAATGCGACTAACAGACAAGAATGATAAACTGGAACATGCACACTCTAAAAAGATGAATGAAAAAAAGCAGTAAGGTATGTACAAGTGTAGAGCTATTTGTTGACTGTGTCCATTCGAAATATTGAATGGAAAACCTTTGGCTGATACAGAGATGAAAACGGGCTACTAAGTCGACCACAAGCGAACAAAGCCAAAAGTCTAACAGGAAGATGTCAAACTAGGAAGCACCAGACGTTGAACCAACTTTTCATTGAGTCAGTACGGCTCATGCCATCTGCAAGTCTCAAGTAAGCAGGAAGTAAATGTAAATAAAAGTCACATCAAGTAATATAATCAATGAATGTATGCGTTATTTTCGTACTGAAGCAACTGAAGACAGAAAAGTGCATGAAGAACATTCTAGGAAGGGGCTTTGGTTGCTACACAATAAAAAAAGTCATCCTAGAGAAGTACCGAAGATATATAAGAAAGAAAACTGACATTCTAAGAGTTCAGTTATTCGCATTGAAATGCTTGAGATAATTTGATAAATCACCACGAAGAAACACATATACACGTCTACTAGAGACAAACAATGTTAAAATCAAGTGAAGAGCATTAAGATGATTGACATCTGTTTATTACTGAACACTGACTCTGTTCATCTCTCTGGAAGACAACCTGGGTTCAATGAAAAAATGGACACTAATAGTTGCTTAACTACCTGCATATTTTGTGCAGTTTGCTGATACCATTTATCTATTTGTTTTCTAATCCCTACCTTTTTTCCCCTCCTATATGTCTTCCTAACAAACGGCTTTTAACGTATCCTGTACACCTAAAACCTATATAAAAACAATGACCACATATCAGCCCTAAGGAATATATTAGTTAAGAACAAACATTTTGAGATACAATTTTTGTATAGACTAATCTAATATCCAACACCAGGCGTGCGAGCATAGTAAACTGCAAGTTCTTGAATCGCTATGTCCAGATTTTGAGGTTCTATTCTTCTTGTCCGTTGTACTAGCTCGGTGGGTGCAGAAGTTGTTTTAGGTTGTCTTTGTGTTGTTTAAGAAGAGTGACTGTCCGCTTGAAGATTTTGTTTTTGTGACTTGCGGGGGCAGCTTCGGAGTTATTGGTGAGATTATTGAACTTTCTGTAATTCTTATCCGTATAGGTACTTTAAAGTAATTATTACAGCATTTCATGTATTCAGATCCTTTGAAAAATGCGGGCAAGGTAAGAATAACCAGACTTGGAGAATAAAACGCAATTATTTTATCTCAGGAATACTCCTTAGCTCCATAAAATCTAAGCGTACAATGGTTATAAGTACATAATCTAGTTTTTTGCTTTGTCGAGAAATACGGTGTTAACCTAAAAACAGGGAGAAAGATTAGGTGGCGAGGATAAAGAAAGGGGGAAAAATGACCAGTAAGAAATAATAAGAATACGACGGGAGCATAGCAAGTCATTTAGACTGAAACAGCAGATATATGAGTAAGCAACTGTTCAATTGCTACTGGTGTATGCTGTTGGCAGGTTGTATGTGCTTACGTGTTTCTCAAACATGTTTCAAGGAGCAAAATCCTGTTGATGGAGCGTTCCATACTGTGCATATTCCGCGAAAAGAGGTTTGACCTAATCAGTCTTAGCATTTTAATATCGTACGAGTGGAATTCCCATGAGACTGTCATTTTTGAACAAATAATGTTACCCTATCCGGCTGGTTTATTCGAAAGGTAATCTTGTGAGCTACTATTACGCTAATAAATCAATTTGTTTTGAACGTTGTGTGCATGTTTTGCTTGTTCTTCTCTCCGTACTCCGACATTCGTAGAGGTGGGTCAAATGCAATGAACACCTCAAGGGTTTCGAAAACCATTAGGAATAATCTGGAGACAAGGGATCCGGACTAACTTTTTAAAAGTGCATGATGGTGTTATCTTTCGCCGCCACTCTTATATAGCTGGTACTACAAATTAGTATACTGGAGTAGTCTAGTACCAGGCCCACCGTAAACAACGGGGTGATCGGACATTTGCTTAAGTTATAGCTTCAGATGTTCGAAGATACATAATTTCAAGTCCTTTTTAACCGCAGCAGAGTGGTTGAGACCATCAATGAAATGTATGGGATCCTGATAACCTTCCATAAGAGACGGCTAAAACATTGGGTAGAATACTTTGAAGTACAGTTCGACTGGCCCTCAGTAACGTCTCAGTTGCCCAATATCCAGTATGAACCTGAGTGAGTTGATATCGGTCCTCTAACTCCCCTTGAAGTTGAGAAGGTTGTATCGAACCTGAAACGATACAAAGTAGCAGGACCTGGCAAACTGCCAGTTACTAGCCGGTCCTAAGTCAGGATAAAGAGGGAAGGTTGGGCATACGGCTAGCAACCCCACCCCAGAAAACTAATCCAATCGCTACAGAAACTTCAAAGCACAAAATAACATGAAAAATAAAAATAGACTTATATCTTGCTGGAATGGGGGAGACGAGATGACCCCAGTTGATGAAAGCCTTCAGGAATCCAATTGGCCGATGTCTTCTCTAGCTGAAAGTGAAAGTATACATGGGGACATGGAATGTCCGCACCATATTCGAACCCACCAAGGCTGCCCAGATTCCAAGAGATGAGGAGATATAACATAAAAGTGCTTGGAATCTGCAAAAGCAGATGGAATGGAAGTGGACTCTCCAAACTGTCAACTGCAGAGGAGTCAATAATCTAATCTACACTGATATTGTCACCCAGATGACAACAATGAGCAAACAGAGTTTTGGAGTGGTTATCAAGATGTCCCCAACACCATCGAAAGCTCCCGTGCAGTGGGAACCAATCTCCTCCTGAAGGATCAGAATCATGACAGCAAGCTTCAACTCAAAAGGAAGGAAAGTCACAATCATACAATGCTACGCTACACAACTACAAATAATGCAGATGAAGAGAAGAAGGAGGAATTCTACAGACAACTGCAGTCAGTAATCGACAAGACCCATCCCAGTTGGCAGCATCAAAATTCTAATGGTTGAGGTGACATGAATGCCAAAGTGGAAGCAGACAATACAGGAGGAGAACTCATCATGGGTCGAGAAGCACTTGGTGAAAGTAACGAGAATGGAGAACTGTTTGCAGATTTCTGCACATTCAACCATTTGGTGATTGGAGGCAGTGTGTACAAACACATGGATATCCACAAAGTAACATGGATTTGATTTCACCAGATGGATACACTAAAAACCAGATCGGCTTCATGTCAATATGAAAAAAGTGGAGACGCAGTCTACAGGACACAAAATCACGAAGAGGAGTAGATATAGGTTTATATAACTCACTACCTAGTGCAAGGAACCTTCCAAATCAAGTTGAAGCCTTCAAAGAAGTTGGAGATAGACCAGAGTTCAAGCTCGACACCCAGAACAGAAACTGAAGGACGAAACTACACAGGACATCTTCATGTCAGCTATCAGAAAAAAATGAGTGAAATTAGGCAACATCCCCCAGGAAACCTGCGTGGAAGAATACTGGAACTCTGTGAAAGAGATGTGGAAAGAAACCTGCATAACCGTGTTAGGAAGGAAGAAGAAACAAAACGAAGAATGGATTTCTACGGACACATGGAAGCTGATAGAGCAAGGAGAGGAAGATGGTGAAGCAGAAGGTGAACCAGTGCAAGAATGAACAACGAAAAGCAGAACTAAATACAACCTATAAAACACTGAACAAAGAAATGAAGAAGAGTGCGTGCAAAGACAAAAGACACTTCGACGACACACCTGCAAGTGAAGCAGGACAGGTTGCAGGTAGAAGAGACCTGACGACATTATATCAAATAACCAGGTTACTATCTGGGAAGAGATCAACACACATGAAACCAATAAAAGATAGCGAAGGAAACTTAGTTACTAAAGAGGAGAAACAAAGGAAACAATGGGCTAACCACTTCAAAAACTCTTGAACCAACCACCACCTGCAACTAGTCTGGAAATACCACCAGCAGCCCAGTCACAGAACTATCAGTAAACACAAGTCCTCCAACTAAAGCAGAAGTCCTGAAACCCACACCATAATGTTGCTGAAGTCCGTGAAAGCAGTTGGACCAGATGGAATTCCACCAGAAGCACTGAAAAAAAACGCAGAGACAACAGCGGATATTTTCAAACGACTATTGCAGAAGATCTGCAAGGAAGGAAAGGTATCTGACGATTGAAAGATGGGCTGCTTTTCAAACTCCCAAAGAAGGGAGACCTAAGTCTTTGCAAGAACTGGCACGAAAACATGCTGCTGTCCACTGCAAGCAAAATATTTAGCCTCATCATCCTGGAGAGACTAGAGGATGAGCTG